AAACTGGAGATGAACAGAGAAATTTGATTTTCAGCTCAAAGTTGAGGAGGAACAATTGTTGAAATGTATACATTTGACTCAGTGGAAGAACAATTAAGCATACAGTTGTGAGAAAAAGTTTGTGTACCCTTTAGAATTATCTGGATCCTGATAGGATATTTTAGTAGCCATTTATGCAGCTCCTATATTTTAGGAGCTGCATAAATGGCTCCTAAAATATGATCTGATGATATTTAGTAAGTAGTGGAACCTCCTTTATTGGCAATAACCTCAACCAAACACTTTCTGTCGCTCCTGATAAGACCTGCGCAGTGGTTAGAAGTGTAATTGATGAGAAGCTAGATCCAAATTATACAAGAGGCTCTGCATGTTATCAGAAACAGATCAAAAAGTCCATGTGGTCACGATGTATTAGATGACAGGCATTTTTCTATGTGCTTAGAAATAATTTTTGCATACAATTTTAGGTCTGAGATTAATAACTATGGCTTATACCTAAAAGGTTTTTCGTGGGTGATCTTGACACAATATCCTGGATTGATATGGCCAACACCTTTAAGCACTTTGAATACCCAAACCAAGTTTCTAACTTCATCTCTCTCAAACTGAAAGTGAAATTATTTTGATATTGGTCAATTTTGGGTATTGGTTTAATTGCTGTCCTTTGGTCTGTGTCTTTTTGTGCACAAAATGGGCTATATAGGCCAAAATGGGCTCTTAACAGCAAAATGTCTTAACATAGTTTGTTAATTTTTGTTTCTGCTAAGCAGCACTTTGTCTTGACCATTTCAATCAAGGATTCACAATGGAGGATTAATAATGAAACTCCTAATGGAGTTAATAATGAAAGTTAGGAAGAAAGACTGTGCTTACAGAGGGCATGAAGAATTGCTGTTGTGGTTATAGGATTAGTGGAGGTTTGCTTAAACAAAGAACACTGGAAGGATAGCCTGAAGTCCCATACTTATACACCCAATCAACTGCCCGGAAGGGTATATATAGTAATACAGTATACCCATATATTCTTTTACTTATTTTATGAGGGAGCCCTAAATTTGCTGTCTACATGACCAGATTGCAAATACACAAGCCAAGAAAGTTAAAGCTAAAACATCCGTATGTATTCATGCAAAGAAACAAGTAAAGGTTTATTCCATGCTGAAAAGAGAAGAAAAGAAACACAATGTTTTTGGCTGTGGAGCCTTCTTCAGGTGTAAAGAAGCACCCTTCTTGACATTTTGCTTGGTTTCCATTTGGTCACTTTATTTGACTTTGGCTGTGCCAATGTCACAGTGAGGAAGGGAAAACAAAACACAGGACAGAAATGCAAGCCTTCCGTGCATGTCCAGTAGTCCTCATGCCGTTCTCTCTCGGTGAGTGGTTTACAAGTAAAAAATGTAGTTTACAGTCACAGGAAACCTATCCAGTCCAGAATCTCACCATGAAATAGAGTTTGAGGAGATACTGTAGCTACGTCAGCATGAGTAAGGCTGCAAAGAAACAGGTAAAAGTTCATTCTGTACTGAAAGGTAAAGAAAATAAATGGTGAAATCAGGTGTGAAGAAGGCTCCACAGCTGAAACGTTTTGTTTCTTTTCTTTACATTTCACCAAGGAATGAATCTTTACCTGTTCCTATGAAATAGAGTTGTTGATGCTGTTTTTGAGAAAAAACTGTGCGTGCTATTAAGGAGTTTTAAATAAAGCTTTGCTTAATTAATTGCGAGATTGTTTAATTACTGATTTTTAATAGCTATTTTTGACCTCCCTTGCGTACTGTATGTGGTCTGTCTTCAGAGTTGAACTGATACCATAGAGCCAAACTGTCACACTACATCTAAAGATTGGGCTCTTCCTGGTGCACAGGAAGTTTGAATGGTTTTATGACTCTCAGAGGAATGGCATCACCATAGCCGTAGCATTTTGTGTATTTTAAACCATTGCACTCTGCTATAACCTCAAGTTATGTCACTGATGTAGCATGCAGTATGTTGTTCATGTCATCATAAGCTATGCTGAACTTCTTGACCTTTTCCATTATTGTATTACCTATATGTGGTCCATTTTTATCAACATTTTGAATTATTTTGGTGTTTCTTACTTAATTGTGAAAAAAGTATTTAAAATATATTTTGTGAGTTTTTGTGCTTTATTACTTTATATTCTGTTAGTATGAGGCTATGTATTAATATTTCCTTCAAAAGAATGGTTTGTATTATTACTGTGTTGAGTTATTTTTACCTGAACATACCAAGCCAATATTTCTTTTGAAAAGAAATGCTGCAGCTGTCATTTTTCTGTCATAAAGAATGCGTTCCCAATTCAGATCTTGGAGGACTGGTGTGTATAATGTTTATCGGTCCAGCTGGGCTCTTATCCTCAGTCAGCTCATTATTGGTTTAAATGGAACACTGTAACAGCTTTGACTAGCTCTTCAGCTGCTGGTGTTTCAAAGAGACCTGGAAAAGTTGCAGACACACCAGTCCTTCAGGAGTCCTTTAGGATTTCTTTTATAAAGCAGAAACCTATTTCTTTAAAATCTAAATGTAGTATCATAATGCATGTATTTATTTTACAGTTCTCTAATTTTAACAGGAAGTCAAAATCACCTTAAAAATCAGAATGCCAGAAACTATCAGGCTTTTGCATTGTGCTCTGCTTTATACAGTACCTAATTTGGATGCATTAAGCCCATTTATTTCTGAGCGAATAAAAATTATCAATTTTCTGTAGACCTTCTCCCCTCTACAGCTTTATCTTTTATCACTGTCAAGTAACAACAGCTTAATTTCATTTTTTTTTACAGTATAACTAGAACTCAGTGCCCCACTGTCTGAAGACATAGGCCTAGTTCTATCTTTGTACCACTTCACACTCTGCTGTCTATCAGCATAAAAACATTTCGCACTCTAGAGTAAGCATAACTGGCAATCATTTTCTCAAAGCTGAGTTATTTATTCTCCCATAAATAGAAACAGTCCAAAAAATGATTCAAAGTTGAGGAGGACCTACACCTAATGCAGATGTCATGGATTGTCTTAAATACGATAAGGTTACTGTACCTCTTTCCTCCGTAACATTATCCACTAAAATCGTTTATGAAAACTGCAAACATAAATATATTCTATAAAAATACACATGATGGTGTTCTAAATTAAAAAAATCTTTAATGAAATTCATAATTTGAAGATGTACAGTATACAAATGTCACTATAGTAGTTTCTGATTATAGACTGTTTTACCTGATTTAAAAAACTCAATATAGCAGAATTACAGAGATTAGAAAATATGTCATGCTACAGAAAAGTTCCAAAACTGATATACAGTATAGTCATCTCAGTAATACTGCACAGATCAATGTCATACATCACATAAATCATTTTTGAATTCCATAAAACACAAGAATAACATACTGTATATTCAATCCTCTAATATCCCTTTAAATAAAATGCAACTTAATATATAATAACGTTTCAAAGTCCAGTGAAACCAAGACCTATACAGGAACCTTTGAGGACTTCCTGTCATCCTAGTGTCTAGAAGTACTGTAGGTAACTTCAGTAGTAGCACAAATCATTATAGTTAACTCAAAGTGCACTTCAGAAACTTGGAAAATAGTCACTGAAGCTCCACAAGTTGAGGCATGGTGATAAAAAAATCCACAGAAAGCCGAATCTATCACTTTCTCACAAATGTTTATCTTGCTATTAGGGGCTGAGAGACAAGTGGTTAACAAGGCAATTGTAAATTCATTTGCAAATGTTTCAGATTTCCAACACAAATGGCTTTTTCAGGATCCAAGACGTATCATATCGTGTAGCATTCATGGCTGGATTACAAGGGAAAAGCCTTTTCTGGAGAACTCCAACATTAAAAAGAGGCAACTTGAATCTGCTGGATTACAATTGCTCACAGCAAAATAACATTTGTCATAAGTGAAAACATTGAAAACATGGGGGGGCGGGGGGGTACATTTATTTCTGGCCCTATAGTTAGTATTCCATATATTCTGATCCTTTGGCATCAAACCACGCCATGTCTTATGTTCGAATTCAATAAAATTGAGCTTTCTGAAACTTTTTAAAGATGAAAGCAGAGCATTTCTGGACATGCTCTTCAGTATTATATTTCCATCAATTTATCCAGTGTCACAGCAACCAGAGCCTTTCCCAGCCTTTCCTGGGAATGGGCACAGGGCAGAGTATATCCTGCATTATACTGTATCTGATATGAAGGTCATGATGAGAAAACACTTATGTCCATTGACAAATATGGCTGGAAGCCTATTCTGGTTTGGGGCTGTTTTACTGTACATCTACAAGTACTACTGCCCTTTTTCAGATAGGGGAAATAATGAATGAGTACATTTTGACCAAAAGGCCTACTGTAGTTCCATCTACTAAGAACCTCGAGTTTGACTGAAAGTGGACTTTCTAGCATGACAACGGCGAAAGCACACATTCAAATTGACTAAGAAACGGTTAACTGTATACAAAATACTGTGTGTGTTCTTGACTGGCCATCTCAATCACCAGACCTCAGTCTAGAATCTAATTACACACTACCGGAGGCATCTTGTCGGTGTAATCAATGCCAGAGGAGGATTTACAAAATAACAATACTACAGCAATATTAATATATTTGACGCTCTTGTTTTCTGGACAGTTATTTATGACATTTTTTTTGCTGTGTGCAATGCTATTATGATTACAGAATAACATTTTGGATTATTTTTCAAGTAAGACATGATCTACTCATTAAATCACTCCGTTGTATGATGTTTTTGTTCCTATTTTGTACTCACGTCCTGTAAATATGAGTTCAGAAAATATATATATAGTATATATCTTGTATACACAAGTTCCATATCAATAGCATTTTAATTTAGTAATTAAATACAGAGGAAAGTGTATACAGAGGAAATAGCTTTTCGGAGACACACCAAATCCAGTAAATGATGCACTATATATATGCTGATCAGTATTTTCCTTTTTCCGTTTAGTGAGAAGCATTAACCCAGTGGACACCACATGAAGAAGCTGTCTGAAACAAAAAGAGGACAGTGACACTGCAGGGCCTCAGGGCAACGGGAGAAACACCTTAGGTAGGTAGGGGAATATACACCTTTAAATAATACCTGTGTGTAAGAGCATTTAAGACAAATCTTTGTAAAAAAGCAGTTTTCCATGGGATTACATTTTTAATTATTCTTTTTACCTCACATGCCATGTTCAAGTGTTAGCTGTTGGAAACAGTTTAAAGACTGAGTTTATTAAAAATGTGCGATTTTTAAGATGACGTAACAAATCAAATTAATATTTTGAATGTCATTGAGGATCATGACAGTACAGAAGCAGGGCTCTCCAACCCTGGTTCAAGAAGTTTCATAGGTTATTTCTTCTGACAGTTTTTTTTAGTTTACTTGCCAAACTGTTTTGATCCTGAAAAGAGCTCATTGCTTCAAGATCTTGGGCAAAATACTCAGCGTGTAGCCATCTTGTTTTTGTCTTCTTGGACCTTTAGTGTGGAATTAGAATATACTTATTCCTTTGCAGCCCACATGCTGATGTAGCTCCCCACTCAAACCTCTTTTAACTGTATTTTAGTTAATATTTCCTTTGATTTTCTTGTTATACGTTTTTAAAACTTGTAGCATGTAGCCTTATGCCATCAAACTGGTTAAAAAAAGCTACCCAGAAATAAAGGAACATGTAAAGGATAGTTCACAGTTCATAAACACTTTTCAAGTGATATGTTAAGTGAATAGGAGACGTTTGCTCTCTCAAAAGTATAAATTAAATAATACAAACAAGCAAGCAAAGAGCTGGGTGAGGATTATCCTGATTCCTCACAATCCAAACAGAATGCAAGTTATGAAAATATTTAGGGCAGCAATGCGGTCTGGTGTTTAGTGTTCTGGATTCATAAATGGAACAGTCGGGGCCCACATGCTGGGAGTGACACTGCTGCTGTGTCCTTTATTCATGTATTTCAGCCTGCTGAAAGAAAATGTACTAGTATACCTGTCTGTGGATTTCAGTTTTATCATTGTGCTGTAAATGAGAGATTTTATGATCAATTAACTTCTCTGGTTAAATTAAAGGGTGTCATTAAAAATAAAGTATCTTATGGCAATAAAATAAATTAAAATTAAATAAATGCATCTCCACTTTTTAAAATATTCGAAATACTTCAGATTCATCGCCATGATTTGAGGATGTGCGACACACAGAGGGGTGCAATAGATAAAAAGGAAAACAAGAACTCTGAATTGAAACAAAAAGAAATAGAACCAAATGTAAATGTAATCAGAAAGGCCATCCTGATGTTCTGCTAAATTATTATTGTTGTTGTTGTTGTTGTTGTTGTTGTTGTTGTTGTTGTTGTAAAGCTTGTAAAGCTGTAGGAACTGTATTTTCCAGGTTTTCATGAATTCATGAATTCCAGCTGCTTTCCCTTTTCCCAGTATAGGGTTTGTTGTGAAAAACACTATACTGGTTGCACTAAGCATTGTTAATATTAATCTTTTGCATGTTTTTCAACATTATGTTCAATTCTTTGAGTTCCAAGTCTTGCAGACAACTTTGTTGACCTTCGGAAATGAGTACAAGAGCAGAACAAGATTAAAGCATTCCTGTGTGTTATCCTTCGGGGCAAAATAGCTGACTAAATAAAGCTTTTGTAAAATTAAAGATCCTATGATTTGTTAGTGGAACACAGATAATAATGTTCTTCAAAATGAGAAGAACAATTCATGTTTTCAATAACCTTAAAAGCATTCAATAAACAATCAAAAAGGACAGTTTCTTTTTATCATACTTTTCTGCTATAGCTGCCATGTTAAAAGATGTTTTTGTCTTATTATAACTTTGCTTTTTTTTTTTTTTTTTAAGGATGGGCTGTATTTGCAGTAGTCGGAAACCTGATAAAGACACTGCTGATCACTGGGGGAAAGAGAATGGGCACATAGACAATTCATTTCCGCTCCGTGGCCCACTTGCTGTAAGTATCTACATTTCGTTAATTACAGCATTCCTTGTTCAATCCTGGAAAAGAGACACTTTTAAGGATTACAGGAATGGATTAATACAGTAAGTGTGTAAAAAATGAGAGGAGGCCATTCATTCCGTCTTGCCCTTTTGGAGGTTTGTAGTTAATTGAATGGCCTCTTCTGGCCATTGGAGAGAAAGATCTCATCCAGTCTATTAAAATAGAAACATTTTACCCTGATATAAGCATTTGCTGAGTTTAAGAGCAAACCTGCAAGTGCAAAATGAATAATTGGGATGTACCTTCTACATCAAGAAACTGGGTTCAAAGAAATGGGGCCTGGTTTACTCAAGAACCATATCAAATTGGGTCTGCAAGCTGGGCTTTATCCATACTTATATGGACGATATATATATTTCCACACAAGCCAAAATCCATAAAAGAAAAAAGAGCCACTCAGAGCATTCAGTGCTGAATCTACTGTAACTGCTCTTAGTTTTCCTCTGTGAGTTCTACTTTCTGTATTGAGTCTCTAACTGTGATTTCATTTGACTTTACTGGCACAATGTTTCTCCTTTACTGATATTCTGTAATACATTTGACATACTTTCTGCAGTGTTATTCCCAAAACACCGGAAGACGTATTTTAGAATATACATTTTGATTGTTATGCAGTCTATACCATGCTTCTAAAGAAACCAGGCACTCTATGTATGTTTGTAGAAAAAAAAAGTGTATAGATTTTGGATGTCAAAGTATTTGACATTATTTTGTCTTTATTTTAATGAGCATCTATTATTAAGTGTCTTTTTGCATATGCAAATCAATTGTGAGTGAGTTCATTGGACACAAGCAATGAAATGATTGAATCTGCTGCAATTCAAACCTAATGAATACCAAGAAAATAAAACACAGCAATTAACCATATGCCCCAGATAACAATGCCTCCATGCTATCAGTACGTTGGAACAGCAATTACAGTATTTACCTATGTTAATTTCAATATAATGACAATACACAAATTGATTTTGTGATTCATGTATTTACAGGTGGGTCATTTATCATGGGTTATTTTATGAAAGCCTGCCTTTAAAGAGTTCGGAAGAAATATGAGCATTACTCCAATTCTAAGAGTCCTTTTAGATTTAAATTTTCAAATTTTCAAATTACTGTAGATAACAAAATTATTTTGGTATTGGAAATTGGAAATTGAGATGCCCTTGATGTGAGGAGTACTGCCAACAGTCATTAATGTGAACCGAGAGGATTGTACAGTAATAGATGATAGGAATAATGGCAGAATTTATATGGAAACTGGTATCTGGTTACTGGTATCTGGATCTGCAATGTATCATATGTAGCTGGGTGGAAATGTGTTACCCAACTAACCACATCAAATCATCATAAGACTTGTTGAGATATCAAACAAACTGTATCCTGAGTAAATGTGAGGGGCAGTTTAAGAATGTTGCCATTGCATGTAAACATGTTCTGTTCCCACATAAAGGCAAGCAAGCTCCTTATTTCAGTATACAAAAATCGGTTAAAAGCTAAGCAATTCAAAGTGCTTTGTTCAGTCTCTCATCTCATAGGAATGTCTGTTGGGAGTTTCTCCATTATCAGCTGATCAAGGAAATGGTTATATGCAATTAAACTCTTGCACAAATTACACATTCACACAAAATATGGTGCCTGTCCCATCATATTGGCCTGTCCACTGAATGGATCCTTAAATTTCTTAATTGTGCTTTTAAATTTATCGTTACTGCCGTGATCTCAAGTATTGTATTCATTTTATAGAAATGACAATTTCAGACAATAAAACCAATTTGATGATCCTATTTTATTTACAGTGGACATGAAAAGGCATCTATTTGTTTCAACAGCTGTGTATTTAATGTCATGTTAAGAACTTTGCTAAAATAATCATATTGTTCTGACATAATATAACCATGAAAGATTTTTTAATAAAACAATACTTTTGCATTACTATAATTTACATACAAACATTTTTGCATACTTACAATTTTATTTTATATATTGCTCTTTAGTCTTGAAATTTTACATGGCTGAGATTGTTAAAAAATATTCTTTGTTGTCTGATATTTATATAAAGTAGAAGGTTCACATTCTTTTTTTGCCTAATTTTAAACATTCTTAGAAAAGGAGTAAACCCCTCATTTAGTTCCATTAGTTATTACAAATTCCGTTCATCCAAAACAATACGGTGGAAAATACTGTAGTGTGGAAGAATATAAAAATACTTAGATGGCATGTAGGCTGATTTATACTGAGAGAGCTGTTTATGGTTTCAGATGATTTAGTAAAGTGCACCATTAATACAGTATCATCCCAGTGAAACTGTTTAAGAAGCTGTAACATTGTTTTAGAATCGTTGGGACAAGCTTAAAGGTTACTGTCATTCAAAACTCTTCTTAACATACTTTTGCTGGCATTGAGACAAAAAGTAAGAGCAGCGGCATAGTTTTTGATGTTTTTTTCTAATTTTCTCCAATGAGGATAAAATGTTCTTTACACTAAAGCAAAAAAATCCATTGTCCATGATGCAATAACAAGAAACATCCAGGCTGTGGAGATACACATCAGTGCAGCTAGTCTGACTGAATAGTTTACGTTAAAAAAACAAATTAGTACATTAAAACGATTTGTATGAGTTGTTACACCCTCCCTCCTCCACTCCCCCATTTATAAATCTCATGAGACCTTGACATCTCACAGACTTTCAAAAGCTTTGCAATAAACTTCCCTTACAAGTGAAAATCTAATTCTGATTATTCAGGGAGCAAGAAAACTGAAAAATATGCAACTGTAAAGACTGTTAAAACATTGTAGAAAGTTCCATGTATCTTTAAGAATATCAATACTGTGCTTTTATAAGAATATTGCTTTACATCCATTTGTATTTGCATTTGTGCAGTGTAACAGGCTGTGATCTGGCCTGTAGACTAATAGCTCAAAATCAGGTTCCCTGATGTGTCGCAGTGTTGTTGTCTTACTGTATAGGAGGAGTAGCTTGATTTTAAACTGTTATAACCTATTCATTTTTATACTGAGTAATCCAATCAGTGAGATCAAACAGGTTTTTATTTTACTTGAATTTCAGTTAGTTTAATTACAAAGTAGATTGACTGCATTGTGGTTTCCATTAAAAATGTGTGGGGGCCAGAATGATCAGTGAGACCTTTCAACAATTAGCCAATGTTTGGGCCAGCTCTTGCTAATTGCAGCTCAACAGCTATAACCTGAAATAAGCCAACCTCCTGCCATCCTGGCCCAATGTTTGCTTGTTATCTGGGTACATGTATTTAGCTCATGGTACCCTTTTCCAAGAAAAATGAAATTTGAAAATAAAAGATTTAATTCCCAGATTTTAAAAACAATGCACAATTGTGTCCATTCCAACTATAATTCATAATTTCTATTTTATTTTTACAGCCCCCAAATGATCACAGACTGGGTTCTCCAGACCATGGTAAATCATGCTTATGATCTTTCCTTCATGGTCGTAATATTTTCTAACAATAATTCAGCTGATAAAAGAATGTAAAGTACATATATACCCTGTACTGTCTAACTTTTATAACATTGAATGCAAAGAATAAAAAGAGCAGAAGTTCATAGCGATGCAGTGCTCTTCTTTATCATGCCTAGTGCATATTCTGCTGTGCTTCCTTCAGATCTATTTTCTTAAAAATCAATATCACAAATCAGGGGTATTTCATCTTGTGGGATTACTTCCAGTATAATTCAATATGAGTTTTTTAAATTATTGTGCACTGCCAACATTGAAATGGTCTCAATTTTATATATTTATGTAGTGACCCTTTGATGTGCAAATGGAAACAAAAATCCAAACTGTAGATACCCCGAAACAGCATTGCTGGGGTACTCATGGACATTTTGTAAAGATTCACATCACTCTTGTTTTAAACGAGTGTCTAAAGAAGACACTATCAAGCAAATCATTGCTAATCTGCTATAAAGACCACAACATATGCTTCCTGTGTACAACAGTCTCTCAAAGCAAGCAACATCACACGGTTTGTGGTCATAACATTGCTGACCTTTTCAAAGTGCCTCAGGTCCTGATAAAAATCCTGCCTTTTCTATTTCTCAGTACAGGATATAGTAGGTCACTTATATGTCTGACAGGGACTGAAAGTCTCTGTGTATACCCTTGAGAGTTCTGTCTCATCCTTAAGCCATGCAGGGTCTATGAAATAAAGTAGTATATTATTAACAATATGGGCAGCTGCAATGCCTTGATGAATGCCTAGTGCCCTAATGTCTCTTATGATTCATTTTTTTACAAAAATACATTGATCATGTGAAACCTGAACTATTTAAAATACGTTTAGTCAGATGCAACACAAATTGTGGAGAATTTCTGAAAACATTAAGAGAATGTTATGCATACTAAAGTTATCAGTGCTTTAAACCAAAGAAAAGAAGTTGCTCCAAAATCTAACTTTAATTATAACAGATATATTTTCTTTTCCGGTCTTACAATTGTCATCTGACACTCACATTTATCAATATCAAGTCAGATTGTGCTAAAAATATCATTTAATTAGTATATGGTATGCTGACATAGTGTAGCACAGATTTCAGATGAAGCACATCGATGAAGTGTAGCAAAAAGAATGTCATTGTTTGTCTCACTGTGGCTTACCCAGATCAGTTTATTATGGGCTATTGCATTACGTTCTGTAGCATTGTCAAGTAAGTGAGTACATTCACCAAAGCACAGTCTAATAATGTGTGATTCTAGCCATGAGCCTTGCTGTGAGAACATCATGTGCCTTTCTGTTCAGCATTAAACCCCTCTGTTAATGCCATTCCCTGTGTGTTGCTATTTGATCTTATGCTCACACACATACAGTATATAGTTACATATTAAGAATTTAAATTCTTCACCAATGTTTTTTAATTCAAAAGCTTATTAGTAAAAACACTCTCCATGAAAAACATTCTCTGACTTGATGCAGCATATTAACATATACTGTATACTATAGCAACTTGCAACTGATCTTAGTATAATCACTTTAAAGAGTGGATTATGGCTTCTAGATCAGAATATAAATGATGGCCACCATTAAAAAATAAGGATATAGCATTCATGTACTGTATCTTTTATGATGATGATTGTAGTAATGATTTCTTTCAGATTCAAATATAGTGATTGCTCAGCATGATTTCCAGCCAGTTAATGAACATGATTTGGCATTCCAAAAAGGAGATAAGCTTACAGTTTTACAAGAGTGAGTATCTACTGTATATTTATCATCATATTCTTTGTGCACACACAAATGTGATCCATTCTCAAAGAGTAGGTTACATTATAATTCTGTGTAGCTTGGCCATTCATTGTTGTTTTTTTTAAGTATCAAAACTAAACCAAACAACTGAAAATTTGAATGTTACAGTGTTAATGACCAGCTTTAATTAGCCACCACTTTCACATAGTACTTGATAAATGATTATATAGTAGTATAGCAGTATAGTAGTATCATTATATAGTTCTCATTATTTGTAAAACCTTAAATTCAGAGATAGACAATGAATGGATCAGTTGAATATATTGAGTTTAATTCTGAATCCCATTTCCCCCCCAGGATATGCACAGATGTAGATTTTACAACAAAACTTTAGCCCACTTCACCAGTATGTGCTCTAAAAATGTGCCACCCATTTCTTTTCACTGTGAACCTAATATACAGACAATTCTGTCCTTCAAAAGTGAATGTGTATATGGTTCACACTGATGTCACCACATTGTGGTCACTCAGTTAACACAACTGATTACCTGTTACTGCCCTCTACTTCACAAATGTTTTCACCTTTGTGTTAGAGCCATTACCAAACATATTTACATATGGCGATAGATATGCTCATATACTGTATGAGGTTACTTGTGTTTCAGTGCCATTCTCTCACCAACTTTGTTGCTTGATGTGGATTCAAATTTTAAAACTAGTCACCAATTAAGCACACTTATTTATTACAAATAATATTTTGTTAATTATTTTGTTCATTTAAGATGGCACCTATACAAAATAATCCGTACTCTTAAATTATGCTTAAATTGTGTTAAGATGTCTCTCCAACATCCCATTGGCTTTGTGTATTGTATGCATTTTTCATCTTTGAAGAAAGGGGGACTGGTGGCTTGCTAAGTCTTTGGTGAGTGGAAATGAAGGCTATATTCCACGGACCTATGTGGCCAGACTGGACACACTGGAAGTGGAGAGGTATGCACCGTATACATACTGTACGTCCTCACAATGGCACCCTCTCTGCGTAATGGACATTTCTGAGGATCAAGAATTATATATAAAAGAGGCCAAAGCAGTTTTATTCTTTAATTTTCAGGTGAAAAGAAATGCTAAAGGGAAATGTTTACTACTTTGAGTATTGCACTTGCATATCCTGTGATGAAAACAAAACAAGACAGAGATCCAAAACCTTTCTTTGTTCTTTTTTTTTGCATGAAACACTTTTAGCTATTCTTTCTATAGCAGCTTCAGCTTGAACAGGGCATTGTACAGTATGATATTCTTATTTCTTAGAGGTTGCAGGTATTGCAAACCATTATCTAAATTAAGTTAGAAAATTACTGGTTTCTCTTGATTTTTTTTATTCTTTATTGCTTAATATATTATGATTACTGCTATTTTTGTTTTCTCATATATTTTTGAATGCTTTTCATAAAGGAAATAAAAAACCTGAGGAAAAACACAATTGAAGGATGATCATGGCAAAGGAGCTGAAAAGCATTCAAATTTTAAATAAAGTTTTTGTTAATGTGTGTTCTTGAGAGGTAAGGGCAGTTTTTGCGATACAGATAGCATTTGCATTAAACATCCTCATGTTTTTCATTCTGTTTATCACTGCAGATGGTTCTTCAAGAACTTGACCCGAAAAGATACCGAGCGGCTCCTTCTGGCTCCTGGAAACAAACCTGGAGCTTTTCTAATCAGAGAGAGTGAGACAACCAAAGGTCTGTATCCCTGCTGGCAAAGCATATTTCAGACAATTAGCTGCACCAACCTGAAAGGCTGTAGGACAGAGAAAAACAGATTGCTGGCATGTTCAATATTCCCTGTGCTCTTACCACAAAAAGGCCTTTTTCATCTGGCGTGGAAGACCCCAGGAATATGTTCTGCACATTTCTCTCAGATATTAAAACATGTTTGATCAATGCAAGCCAAATTCATATTTGATTTCGTTTTTTGAGAATCAAACAGCCTAATGCTGGTAAGGGAAGACTGTCTGTGTGAAAATCACGAGAAGGCTAACATGATTCCTTAATGTGTTGAACTATGGAAGCACACAATGTTCTGTCATGCAAAGCAGTGAGTGGAAAAGTTGTAGAATCTTACTGAAATGCCTCCATTCCCTTGCAGGAGCATTCTCCCTCTCTGTGAGAGACCTGGTAGCGCAACATGGAGATGTTGTCAAACACTACAAGATACGGTCCCTGGACAATGGAGGCTATTACATTTCACCCAAGATCTCCTTTCCTACATTGCAAGACCTGGTGAAACATTACTCGAGTAAGTTCATGTAAAGCAGAGGTAGTTGAGACATTATTCATCTCTTAAGTGGTTGCTAATCTTGTCTTGAAGGCTTCATTGCCATTGTGTTTCTTTCCCCGTGTACTCTGTTGTGGCTAGAAAGGAAATGACAAGGGGCTTAACCAGAGGCTCCTTCTTTCCAACTGAAACAGAGTTTCCCAGAGAAGGGGTCCACTTGGCTAAATGGATAAATGGATTTGGACAGGGATAGGCAACTGTAAATTGGCAGCTGGGTAGTTTGAAGTAGTAACCTTTGTTACTGTCCTGGTTCCTATGAGCTTAGAGTATTGTCAGTGAGGTCCAAGCCATCCCTCTAGTTGATGCTAATTTTTCCCCAAGACACCATGGAGTGGTGAGGATTTGATTGAGAGCATGTAAGGCCCCAGCGATGGAACAGGGGCCATGCGTGGTGAGCTGAGCTGATCAAAAAATTGTGTCTCCAAATAGAGTGTATGAAGTGAAAATAATTAGTTTCAAATGAAAAAAAAAATAGAAACAGAAAATGATATGAGAGCAGTTTGCAACCTGCATGATTTACATAGATTCTCACTTCAGATATTTTTGTCTTTATTTCCACAATATTTTAGCTTCTTTCTTCTGTTTTGTGTCAGCTGTATTAATAAATGCAGGCTTTCAGTTAGATTTACAAAGCCCCAAGATAGTTTTGGTTGCCAGTGCATTTGTAAAATGAATTGAGGAAAATTTAACACAAATGAAGAAACAAAAGCATAAATTACATTTAGAAATGATTATATTGACTTTGTATTGATTGAATGCATACACCTTAAAGTATGTATTCTATAGTATACCATACTGTATTTGCAGTGCCTGAAGTTTATGCTTTTATAAGTAGTAGAGAAATATGTATTGAAGCTACTTTCTTCAAAGAGTAATAATGATGCGACCTGTCGTTGGTCTGTTGTGCCATTTTCAGAAACAGCAGATGGTCTGTGTCAGCGCCTGACTGCGCCATGCAAATCTGTCACACCTCAGAGGCCTTGGGGACAGGATGAATGGGAGATTCCCCGGGAGACCCTCAAGATGGTGAAGAAACTGGGTGCAGGGCAGTTTGGAGAAGTGTGGATGGGTGAGCAGTCTCTCTCTCTGGGTCTCTGGGTACTAATTTCTACCCGATTACATTTTGAAAGACAATTATAAAAAATGTAATGTACTGTATCATGCATTTTAACTTGGAAAGTACTGTAAGTTAAATTATGTAATATGATTCCAATTCAGAAGCACTATGCTCTTTAGGTGCAGGATCTTAAAAAAATAGCTAAAACTGGAATAAATAACTGGAATAAATTCAGGAAATCCAATCTTTGATGAATGTGGCTGCTCAAAATATTCAGAACTGTACTGTAAAACCTTTCACTTTGGTGAATGTAAGGGGGCCGGAGGTGGAGCCCTCGCAGAGTAGTGATGACACCATGTTCCTCTAAACGCTTGACAAAGATATCTAGTACATTTCATTGCAGTTACCCCTTGAAAATGATCAGTAACATTAACAGCATATGGAGGTAAACCCTGTCATCTTTTTGTTTTTTTATTAATCGTGAATTACTAGTAATTAGTGATGAATTTCATATATATGCACATAGATTTTAATGAACCATTCCGTCGTTTTCTTTTAAATGCTTCAGTCTAAAAGAGAAAAAAGGAAGAAATACTCTTTAGCCTAACCATTGTAACAGTGGGTTCTGAATTATCCATGCAGGGTACTACAAGAACAACCAGAAAGTGGCCATCAAGACGCTGAAGGAAGGCAGCATGGCTCCTGAAGCTTTTCTGGAAGAGGCCAACTTGATGAAGGAGCTCCAGCATGATAAGCTGGTCCGTCTGTATGCTGTTGTCACAAAGGAGCCCATCTTAATTGTCACAGAGTACATGGTGAATGGTAGGAAATTCTCCTTGTGGAAGACTAACAGGATATTACTCAAACAGTCTTTTTCAGAGTGTTGCAGCAAAACTGAATCATTCAGTGAAAAAGAGTTTATTTTTTTCTATCAAAATGTATCAGGCTTAAAAGCTAGGTCTGGTAAAAATGATCAATGCTAATAAGCCAGCCTTTTTTTAGCCCGCAGTTTTATTTCAAGTACCATTACTTAGAAATGTTAGTTATGGAAAGCTCAAATCTAGCAGTGTTTGCAAATCCATCAATTGAAAAATCTGTGAAATGCCATAATGCAGAGAAGATTTGGAATACAAAGCTGGATATGGTCCATCACTCAAGGAGCATGTTACTTTAAGTGCACAACTTTATCTAATTGATCGATATGTAACAGGTGCTATGGGTCTTTAGAAATCTGCGATTCAGGCTGACTAATGGTAATTACCAGACCCGGCTCTGGAGACAGCTGATTTCAGTTACTGAAGGAGCTTGCCACTTTCTGTGAGCAGAAAATCAAACCAGGCTGTCCCAACTTTGGTGAAGCCAGATTGGTTAAAACAATCAGTCGAAATAATTAAAATTAACACATGTGTTGTTATTGTTATTATTATGTGTTTGTAAATGTACTTTGTGTTTTTTCAATTTTCTGTGTCAAGGTAGTCTACTTGACTTCTTAAAAACAGAGGAAGGAAACCGGGTGCAACTTCCCAAACTCATAGACATGTCGGCACAGGTTAGTGGATCCTTGTACCTTTTGGACATGAACTAGTCTTTCTTGGACATGCAGGATCCATTTAGGAGAACAATGAAAATAAGGCACAGACCTTTGACTTATAACTGCTTTTCCTTTAGATGGCATTGTATGATACTGTATCCTACAGCTGATAAAGTGAGACACTGCAAAACCACTTACACATCGCTTTGATAGTGAAGGATTAAATTGCCTGAATCAGCTGTCCAGTTTTTTGTCAATGTACCGAGTTGGACTGTAATTTAATTTTCGTAAGTTTATTACTTTAAACTACTGCATAGATTTACCCATTCGCGTAACAAAGGTTATGGGAAAAACGAAGGTGAATTCTATGGTGAAGAGTAAAAAAAAGTAAAAATCACAGTGTTTAGCTTCGAAGCTTTCTTTAGTTGTGCCCACACAGTCAAATGATAATGTGTATTGTATTCATTTTTCTAATTCTTAGCATATAATGCTTGGTCCTTTCTGGCTTGCACATACTGTAGATACTGCTCACCACTTCAGCCCTTACAGAGGATCATATTGTTATTGTTATGTGTTTTCAGTACATACAGTAATAATTAATTCAATGATCATTAAAGCCTGTAGTGTCTGAGTTTCTGCACTCAGAATTTAAACTTTCTACATGACATTAGATTCACCACTTCATTTGCTGCTATTGTGCTGATAACACACCAAGTTAAGTTGACAATTAAGAAAAAGAGGTTGAGCTGTAATTAATGAAAAGTATTCAAAATAGAAATAGCCTTTAAAGAATTTTGGAATTACTTGCATTCAGTTAGAGCACAGAACCAGAACATTCTCTGTTAGTACGTAGGTAAAAACTTTAATTACACCTATAATTTAAGTAATGCATATTATTAATTTTAATAAATACAACTTTTTACTGTGCAAACCCGCTATTCAACCCTCTCCTTCTTAAAGTAGAAAGCAAGCAAGTCCAAAACTGTTGCACTTTTCAATGGCTTGGCTGAGGTGCGAACTTATAAATCAATATAGTAACAGAGAAACAAATTCACCTTCACACGTAGAGTTTCACTGAACTATCACTTTGATATTCAACATATAGGGTTTCAACTTAATATACAAGTGAATTGAAAGTCTGCCTTTCGTATGAGGTCCTTTATGCTAAATTAACTAGAAAAGGCATTCTCCTGCATAGATGGGCATTAAACATTGATCTTCAACCCTCAAATGACCATGCATTTACTGTATGAGGTGTCTTTTATGTATCTGTACCTTGTTTAAAGCTGTTTTATATTGAAAGTAAAGAAGTAAGAAAAATGACAAGGGGCAGGATCCTTAGCAAAATAATCAGTTCACCATTGGAGCAAGGGAATACAGCACTGGATCCCAAGACTCTAATATGTAACTAGTGTAATTTAGCTCAGATCTTTTTTTCTGAAAGGTGTAATTATTCTAAGACCATTTAGAACGTCTGCTGATGGTACCCATTTTCATGTCTAAACATAGAAAGTGGTAGCAATGATAAGGGTTGTGGTCAGTCACATATGAGCCTCAGCTCTTAAACCTCACCCTCTATCACTTATTAACATCCGGACAGGATGTGATGTATTTTCTTCCATTTTCCATGCTATTAAATACAGACACATTTTAGTGTAACAGCAGTTTGAAGTTCATTTCCTGAAACTGTATACATCCTGTTAAAAACCACATCATAGATGCTGCAACACCTTAGTTTTCCCCTAAACTGTCTGGGTAACAGACACTGCAAGAAGAAATGTAAGTACAAAGTTAAGTACTTAAAAATACATATTCCCATTAAAAGTCTACTTCTACAAGTTTTATCACATTATTAGAGATCGCTTATGTACTATAACGTCATGGTTAACTTCTTTGACTAAGAGAAGCATTAGGCTGTTTCTCAGCCTAATTTTCATGGCAGCATTTGTATCAGCTCTCTTTATTTTATTGATTTGTTTCTGAGTACTGAACGAGTTTTAGTTTATCTGTTCTAAACCTGTAGATTAAAAAAAAAACATGTACCTTTAAAGTTACAGGATTAAAAAATTATAAAAGCGTAAGTAAAGTTGTACTTGAAAGGAAACTACTGTATTAATCCCATTGGGGTCATTTCAGCTAAGGTAAACTAAAACATTATAAAGTGACCTGAGTTTGGATCTCAACCGCCTGGCTAAGAAGCCTACTCCAGCTATCCACAACAATTTTTGTAAAGAAGCGTTTCCTATTTTACATCTTAATTGAATCCACATTTACTTGCAAATTGTGACCTTAAATCCCCTGGGTTAACCCTATCTCTCTTGCTTAAAATTGTTTGTTAAGTTCTCTACCTACCTTAACCAGTCTGTACATGACATGTAAGCCAGGCATCATTCTTGCTACTTGTCTTTGAACGCTTTCTAGGCTTGTAATATAATATGTTTAATGTGAATTAACAGCGCATTGTAAAGCTTAAGCGTATCTTTCCTGGATTTAAATGCTAAACCGTTTGCTGCGTATTCAAGGTCCTGTTTGCTTTGCCACAATGTTTTGTTGAGAACGTAGAAGAATCTACATCAACACCCTGATCCCTCTGGTGTATAGCTTCATGCAGCTTTCAATACCCTGGGTCATCTCTATAGTTAATATTGCTTCTACCAGAGTAGATCACTTTGCAATTAAATATGCCTCCACAATCCATGGTTTGGTGTAAGTCTCTGTTTAATTCAAAATAGTTTTGTGTTTACCACCCCCCTATTTTTACATAATCTACAATTTTAACTTGTTTGTTAACTATATCAGAATCTACATCATTGATACAGATCAAGAAGAGAGGGCAGGCCTTATGTTGATGTGCTGTTTCCTGTTTGTTAACCTCTTAGTAAAGCAAGACCTTCCCTTTCAAAATCCAAGTTAGTCATCTCTTAAAATGACATTCTCCACATTTTAGGTCTGATGAGCAATTCCAAAACTTAACAAGTAAAGACTTAGAGTCCTACAGTTTCCTGGTTCATGTGTGTTATTTGTATTGAAAATTGCTTACAGATAAGGAGGAATCTCAAATCAGGGTGGTGTAACTACTGTCTCACTAATTTACGTACATTATATTCACGATCTAGATTACAGTATAGTTATAGTAAACTAGTCAAATTTACAGATGATTTCCAAATTAGGAGGTTTAGTGAATGCTGCAGATGCAGCAAATTAAATCTTTAAAAGATTTAGATAAAATTCAAGACTGGGCAAACACCTGCCAGATGACATTTAATGTAGACAAGTGCAGTGCATGTTTTGCATGCAGGTAGCAAAAACATAGACTGTAAATGAAATTAAAAAATGAAGCCTAGATAGAATAGGGTACTTATGACAAAGGGTTATGTGTTTGGTTGAGACATCATTTACATTGTGTAGTGTGGTCTCACGAGCCACCAGTTCTGTAGGGTTTGGGCATTTACTGGGACAATTATTAATTGTAGCAGTAAGTCACAAAATGATTCTTTTAATGGCCTTAGAATCCAACCATTTGGTATAACTCAAACAACGCACACACACAGACACTAATACACGAGGATACATTTATTAATACATAGAATATGCATGTAAACCTAACAGATCTTATCGTGAGGGTTAGCAGAATACAAAAGGTATATATTCAATCAGTCACGAAGAGTTACACATACCAAGAGGACATACGTTTCAGTATATCATTCATTTAGACCGTTTCGTAATTGAACTTGGTTACAACTTCTACATTAGATACTCAAAACAAGTACATACCTCTTAGGAATTAAATTGATATCAACTGGTTGGGATAACGATTTAATTCTTGAGCTGTAATGCAGTAAGTTGAATACTCATCCAATCTCAGGGGATTCAGATCTCCTGCGGACACAAGCAAAGAAACAGCTGCAGGCTTGTTGCTGTCCAATCCGCGCTCTCTGGCTCTGTGCCAGGCTGTGCTGTGCGGCTTGGTGGAGACGCCTGCGGCGCTGCTCTCTGAAGACCTAGCTAGTTAGTGTTGGCTTTAACTAGCGAAGTTGTGCTCAGGAGAAAAGTTACTGTGGGTCCAATAAGGTCAGGAAGAGGACCGGTTCATCCTGATGAAACACTAGTTCTGAATAGTGATTCAGCTGTCCACCGTTCCGACCTGTTCACGAGGCTTGCTGCTGATGCTAACCTCGGGTGGATCCTTTGGTTACTCGTGGCAACCTCCGCTCTCGATTCTTAGAACAAAGAAAAGTTCTGGCACTCGGACACACTGGCGGTTACGTGGTTGTCCGTAACATCTTTAAATCAGCCTGCATGAATAGCTTCTCTGTGGCTGCACCACAGAGATGAAGAGAGAGATGGGGCCTCATTTGGGAAATTAAGCAACACTTAATTCTGCCTTATTAACAAGCATTGCCGCTACAATTGCATAAAAGTACGAGTAATACTTCGTTTACAATATTGTGCACAATTTTGGTCACCATAATACAGAAGAGCTATTGCTGCTTAGGAATGTTTTGGAACTTAAAAATGATATCCTTTACTGGCAGACTGAAGAAACCAAACCTTTATAATCTCGAACAGAGAAGCTTGCAAAATATTAAAAATCCTCAAAGGTACTGACAAATCCAATTCATCAGATTTCTTTTGAATGAAGTGTGAAACACAAACCAGGGCACACAAGTGGAAACTACACAAAGACATTTAAATCTGAGAACAAGAGACCACTCTTTATGCAAAGGGTTATGGGAATATTGAGCATGTTACCCAGCAATGTTATTTAAGATCATACACTGACCATCCTGGTCATTGCTTTCACAGGCTAGGTTATGAACAACCATTAACCATTTCAACCATATGAAATTCAGCTCCTTTACTTGAGTTCATTTTTAATAGCCTTCCAATATGAAGAAGTTCAATAATGGGCAATAAATTGCCAGCAGTTTTATCACCGTGCAGCATATGTTTATGTCCCCAAGGTGGTTCCAGCAGCTACAGTATATCACCCTGCAACTCACAACTAGCAACTCACTGAAGCTAAGCAGGTGTGAGCCAGGTCAGTACCTGGAAGGGAGACCTCCTGGGAAAAACTAAGGTTGCAGCTGGAAGAGGTGTTAGTGGGGCCAGTAGGGAGTGCTCACCCTGTGGTCTGCGTGGATCCAATGCCCAAGTATAGTGATGGGGACAGTACACTGTAAAAAAAGTCCTTCTGATGAGACATAAAATCAAGGTTATTAAAAATCCTCCTGGACATTTCTTGAAAAAAGTAGGGGTGTTAACCTGAGGTGTTCTGGCCAAATTTCTCCCTGGCCTTTACCAATCATGGCCTCCTACAAATCCCCCTCCATGAACTGGCTTCATCACTGTTCTCCTCCCACTGATAGCTGATGTGTAGAGAGTGTACTGGAACACTTTGGCTGCTGTTGTAGGTGGGTGATGCACATTGGTGGTGGTGGATGGGGTCCCTGTTACCTGTAAACCACTTTGAGTAAAGTGTCTAGAAAAGCACTACAGTATATAAGTATAAGGATATTGTGTTTCCCTAGTGCATTCTTTAGCACCTAATGCAACTAAATTATCTCACATTTTTAAACATTATATACTGGGATGCCTTTAATACAGTATGTAACAAATGCTGGATCCTGCTGAGGGCAGGGTGAGTCCACAAGGGATCTTGATGGTCTCATAAATGCAGCAACCCTTGCATCCTCCCTGGTGCTTGGACTGTTGGCGAAGGGCACTCCTCTCCTCCAAGCCAGTGCTGAGTGGACAGGACTGTGGAACTTGATGTTTTATAATAAAATTGGATCGAATTGAAGCCACGTGGGTCAGGAGAGTTTGCACTGCCTACATTTCCTCATTTTCCCCTTGTGCAGACATGGGGATCATTAGAGGAAGCCGAGGCACAAAATACACACCAACTGTGTATTAGAAAAGAAAAGTAGTGATTCTAAATTCAAAAAAAAATTATAGCTCTTTTTTTTCTTCACAGATTGCAGAAGGGATGGCATACATAGAGAGAAACAACTACATTCACAGGGATCTCCGCGCCGCTAACATTCTGGTTTCTGAAACGCTGAAATGCAAAATTGCAGACTTTGGTCTTGCTAGGATCATTGAGACCGAATACACAGCACAGGAAGGTATGAACATAAAATGTTTTATGTATGAACATAAAATAATATGTGAATAATGTGTGTTTTTTAAAAAGGTGTGTGGATATTGTAGTGTGGGCCTTATATTAACTGAGCATGTCATGGAACAGTAAGCATCTTAAAACACAAAGGCATTCTAGAATACATAGAAATGACCAACAAATGAAGTATGTAGTAGAACCACATGTGTGATTGCCTATAGCTAACCAAAAACAACAAAGAAGTGCCAAAAGTATGTGGATGGGAATTCAAGAGGACAATTTATTTCAGTGGCAACCTGTAAGCAATGTGTTAGTACCTAACTACTGAAGCAGAGTTTGCTGAGTATTATTAAATGGGTACTGCCTGGATATGTGAGGCCTACTGTACAGAGACCTACAGTAGTAAGTTGTTTACAGGGATCGTCTATAATTACTATACAGGTTTCTTGTAGAATAACATGTCACCAAACTTCAGACATGTCATAAGAAATGCTTGTTCCTGCGAGGATTGTTATTAATAATTTAATTGTCACTTGACTTAATTCTGTTTACCTCTTAGTAATCTGTCCTCCATTTTTGTCTTCTACAGGTGCTAAATTTCCCATCAAATGGACAGCTCCTGAGGCAATCAACTATGGTACTTTTAGCATCAAATCCGATGTGTGGTCCTTTGGGATTCTCCTCACTGAAATTGTTACTTACGGGAGAATACCTTATCCAGGTATTTCTAAGATTGTAAATTTGTAAACATACAATTATTATAGTGTGATCTTAAGAGGGTATATAAATCAAATTCCTAATACTAAGACTAAATAACAAATGTGGATGTCCAAACTGTATTTAATGCATAGCTTTTAGAATATTTTCATTATTTACACAATTGCTTATAATATGCTCCATCCTTTTAGTACACATACTTTAACATAATTTGAAATGTCTTATTGTTTATCAGGCATGACCAACCCAGAGGTTATAAGGAACCTTGACAGGAACTATAGAATGCCCTGCCCAGACCATTGCCCGTTGGAACTGTATGACATTATGCTGAAATGCTGGCAGGAAAGACCTGAAGATAGACCTACGTTTGAATACTTACAGTGCACCCTTGAGGACTTTTACATTGCAACAGAAAGACAGTATGAGCTGCAACCCTAGGAATGATGATATACAGTACTAACTTCCTGAAACCAAGTTGAAGATATCACTGGCAATCACATGTGGCCATTTGGATACAGTGCCTTTCCATGAACCTGACTTCAAAATATATTATTCAAAGAAGTATTTTGGGGGAAAATGACTTTACCTAGTACTGCAAGATATGCACCTTGACTTGAAATGCTCTGAGCACAGAATGAAAGAAGCTTTAGTACCTTCCAGACGTGAAGAACTTTCCTTTTATTTGGATTTAATCTTTTGGTCTGTCTGTGAGAACTCTTCAGATTTCTTATCATTTCTTTTTCATTATTTTGGCTTTTGGACAGCCCTTTCTGTAAATACTGCTTACTGAATACACATTGCGTATGCTTATACATTTGAGGGATATATTGTACTTTTGTGTGTTCATTGACAAGAAAAAATATACCGTAATGAGAATTTTTTTTTTCAGGAAAACATTGCTCCCAGCTTTATTTTTCTGAAACCTGATCTAAAATTCAGAAAATTTGAACCTATTGAGAACTTTCCTGGCAAACAGCAAAGAAACCTCCTATGCCGAAGTAACTTAAATTAAGTATCTGTGAACTGTGCTTTCTTTATTTTAGTTATCAAAATACAGCCATTTGCTCGCTTGCTTGCCTGCCATCTGAAACTGCAGTTTGAACCAGAAACCAACAGGAAGGGAGAACATTTATAAACAACCTTAGCTAGTTTGCATATTTGTTCTGTGTCATTCTAATATGATACAAAATTGTGGCAAATCAAGAATATCAATAGGTGGCACTCTTGTATCATTACAACTATTCCATAATACCAAAAGATACACAACTGGACCTGAAAAGTCATCCTGCCTATATTTTCTCAGAACTGAAATTTTGCTAAAAATCACATTCATTTCCCATCTTAAAAGATCTGTAATTAAATTGTATTTTTTAATCAAGTTCATTTTAATAATTGTTTCAGTTATTAATTCTTATTCTGAATAAAGCAGCAAATGCGAGCTGTGCAAGATGCTCGTCTCTCTTCTCTGGAAGGTAGGAAATATAAGAAAAAAACCTGTGTGTTGTGGGACCTGTTTGTGTTGTTGATAATGTTGTGTGATAAATTGACAGAATGGTGGCAGGAGTTCTAAAGCAAGCTCAGGATTAATTTCATCCCTCAGTTGCAATTCTAAATTATAGCTCAAATTAAGAGCTTGTGTTATTTTTGGAGTTTCATTTTAATAGAGGCAATTGAGAGTTATGTTGTAAGGATATTAATGCTACACAATTCTTTACAGGCGGCACAGTATTGTTATGGTTAGCACTGCTGCCTCACTGATCCTGGATCCTGGGTTTGATCCTGGTCTGGGGTACCTTCGTTGTGCATTTTGTGTATTCGCCTTGTTGCTGCATGGTTTTCTCTGGGTGCTCTGGTGTCCTCCTATAGTCCAATGCCATGTTATCTAGGTTAATGGTGTCACTAAATTTCCAGCATGTGTTTGTGCCCTGCAGTGGACAGGCATCCCTTTGAGGAGGTTTCCTGCCTTGTGCCTGTTGTTCACTGGGCTACACTGCACGTCTTTTCATTCCTGTATTGAACTAGGTCATCACTGAACAAGTGTGGACTATGTGGTATGGTGTTTGCAGTGCTACTGTACTTCACCGCTCACTAAAGGTTAGGTCTGTCACATTTGGTGCCGAACCCCTGTAGCAGGCTCTGAGATTCTGGACTAAGGTGCCTTCAGTGTGTAGTTTAGTGTTTCCCCTGTTTGCATGTGAATTTTCTCTAGGTGATAGTTTCCACCTTCCAAAGACATGCTGGTTATATTGGTTGGTGACTAAATTTTCCATGCGTGTGTGTCTGCAGTGAATCGATGTCCTTTCAGGGGTGTAGTCCTACCTTCCACTTCTTGGTTCCACTGAGATTTAGAGACTCACATTTGCTGTGACCCTTAACAGGAATTAAGTGGCTTTCTGATAAAGGATGAGTGGGAATATATTTACTTATTTGTGGGAATTCTGAAACCTCTTTCTCTGAAAGACTGAGTTAAAGGCATAGACATAATCTTTCTTTCTGTTATGCTGTTTTATAAAAATAAAAAAGTAATGAAAACTAAAGCAATCATGGGAAGCTATAATATGTTGTTCCTGTAAAGTAGGTTGGTGCATTTTAGATACTCTTTTACAGAATATCCCCACAGATAGCAATTTGAACTCATACTGTAACTATTATTTAAAACTCTTTCAATATCCGCTTTTGGGCTCACTTTCCTGACTACAAAAAGAGAAATTATAGAATTTTGTTTTCCACTTCATGTGAACCTTTGCTGAATTTTAATTTTAATGCCACTATGGACATTACATTTTCTCTAATATAGGTCTGTTAAATAAATATTTCTCTCTGTTGTTAACTGTTTATTTTTGTTATGTGGACTTGAAATAATGTATAAATGTGCATATAACTTTATTGAAAATAGATAATTTAATATAATATCTTTCCTTATGAAAATTGCTTTAGCTTGGGAATGATAAAGCCTTAAAAGTCAATGCAGTTGCCAATATGCTGCAGTATATAGCTCTTTAAAAATCCAAATAAAATTATTTTTATTCTTTTAAAGTATCTTGCTTAAAACAGTTCTCTGCATATAAAATATCTTGGCATTCCTTGTTTCTCGTTTTGTTTTAGACAGTTCAACTGAGTTTCCATTTCTGACAATGCTTTCCAATTGACTTTTGTTTGCACAGCACATCACATTTTTTCTTGAATCTATGAGAGAAATTTGAATTCTCCAAAAAGTCAATGGTGTGTTTTTACAATATACTGTATAACTTCTCAGAACAATGGAAAATATTTGCCATCAAAACTGAAAGAACATTCATGAACATTGATACATACCCATTTTACAGCTATGAAGAGGGAACCATGGTTTCTCAACATTTTACTCATAATCGTTGCATGCTGAAAGCATGAATATTCTATGTTTTAAAGGCAAATTAATTTGTTTTCATGTCAATTTGAAATACTGTACAGTAGGTACCATTCTGATTTTGTACACTAATAATATCTAAAACAATGTCCTCAATATATTGTTAACTGCTCAAAGATGTATTAAGATGAATGTTTATTGGGTAGGATACATACCTGAGAAAAACAAATAAGTAAAAAGTTATTTTTATATATATATTCTTTTTAACTCTAATATAATTTAATATTCTAAATTCAGGTTTACGTTTTTCAAAATTTAGATTGATCAATAGGTTAAAATAGAAAGTGTAGAAATTACTATGGAGTATATTTTTTACTTTCCCACAGGAAAGTCATTATTAATCTACATGTACAGTGTATGTCCTGAATAATCCCATGGTACCCTCTTGAACAATATGGCTAGGTAGCTTGTTCCTGGCTGTTCCTGACTCCTCCTGTGTTTGTGTAATGCCCCTTGTTGTCCGTCCTGATATCCTTTTCTTCTCCTTGTGCTACCTGGTTTGCGTTTTACAGGGGATCCTCAAGAAGCCCCCTGGAAGATTTTGAATTCCTGAATGCAATGCCCTGATGATTTAAAACCCCAATTTAACAATAATATTAAACAAGGACTTGAGTTAAGCCCCTGCTTGGCGAAAAGATTTGGGAAAATGGTGAATGAAAAACAAACGCTTTTGATGTAATTTTGATGAATTGGTCATGCAGGACTGACCGTGGTTCAATCCAGGGGTTTTGTCTGTTGCGTAAGCACTCAATTTACCTGAAGGTGAGAAATCTTATTGGGTAGGAGACATGAGGAGATTTCAGCTGAATCAAAGTTTTGTGCAGGCTAGTTCCCAACCCTGTTCCCAGGGTAACTTGTCTTCTCTATTTTTCACCAGCTGAATACATTAAATTATATGTATAAATAAATAAGATATAGTAAGAACAGTTACAAGCAAGAGGAGGTCATTCAGCTCAGCTTTTCCATTTTGTAGTTGGTAGTTCATTGATCCAAGGATGTTATACCACTATTTTTTAATAGTGGTTTCAAAAATGTGGCTGGGTAGCTTTATCCAGACTCCCACATTCCCCTGTGTAAAGTGTCTCCTGTTCTCAGTTTTAAATGCACTTCCACATAGTTTAGACCTGCATCCTATGGTTGGTGTTTCGTTGTTCATTCTGAAGAAGTATATTGGTGGGACTTTATTGCAATCTTTGAGGATTTTATATACAGGATACAGGGATATAAATATATACTTTATATAGGAACAAGTAATAGGTTTATTCCAATACTGAAAAGAGAAGAAAGAAAACAACGTTTCGGCTGTGGATCTTTCTTTGGGTGTAAGAAAGATAGGGCAGTCAGCAAAGATACAGTAATATACAGTAGCATAATGAAAGATAATAGCAAGGAAAAATCTGCATATTGCCTAGAAGATTTAAGTGATGTGTCAGTATAAAAACTCCTACTGGATCTCTCATATGTAGCCTCTTCTATCTTGCTTTTTTCCATATTTGTATTTATACAGTAGTTCATGTTTTTGCTACTTGCATGCAAAACCCTGTACTCATCTACACTAAACATCATCTGCCAGGTGTCTGCTCCAAGTCTCTTTATTCTTCTGCAAAAATATTAAACAGAACGGCTTAGTGACGCAAAAAAATAGACATGATCTTTTGGAGGTAAAAGAGAAACGTTCTCCCGTAGTGACATAACAACTTTTTTTAGTTTCAAACATAAAATAGGGGCCACAAAGAAATTCTCCGCTGGTCTCCTGGCCCTTGAAAAGTCTTAATGATCTTCAAGTGGGAGTCCCTGCGCGGAGGTTGGCTGCAGGGTTTAATCCTTTCTTAGGTTCTCTTCCAACCTACACTGTTTCCCTCCTGAAGATCAAGGCTGAACTAATCCAGTTGGTCTACAGATCCCTCCAGGGAACTCTGCTATATCTGTGTAATTTGTCACAACCCACTGCTGATGAACTCTTTTGATGAAAAATATTAGCATATTGCATTATCCTAGATATACATATCTACTGTATATACTGTATATATGTATATCTATTCAATAAAATGTCAGTGCACTTTTTACAAAAAAAAAGATTTTATCATTTATATTTGTATTGTATTTGTTGTTGATAGAAATTACAATCTTATTTTGATACTCAGTACAGTATATTAATTATGAAGTGTGTTTGCTATTTTCTTCAATCCATATTGGGGTTTGGATGAAAATGAATGAATTGGTACTTGTCATAATAATTATTTTACAAATTGTGTTATTTTGAGAGTTATACTTTCTGTCAGAGACATTATAATGCTGAATGCACATAGCTGTACATTGAAATTGAAACAAAACATTTAACCTTTTTTAAATTACATCATATTCACAAAAATAATATCTGGGTATTGATGCAGATAAAATGAAAACAGAACTCTAATGTCAATTTTACCAGACCAATTTTACCAAATGGGCTGAATGACCTCTTGTTTGAAACCTTTCTTATGTAAAACTACACAGGTGTCACAGGTGTAGCGAAAGGACCCTACAACATACTGTAGTGTGAAGTGATAGTGAAATCCCCTATTATTATGTTTACTTTGGACTTTTCTCAGTTTAGACAATTAGCAATTGTAATGCATGAATTTCATATTGCACATTTCAAAAGTAAGTTTTATTGAGAAAAAATGTTCACATTTTTCATTAAATTGCATAATCACAAAGTTTCATTTAACAGTAAGTTAAACCTGTACAATAGCATACACAGATATACATATTTGTGCCTTGCTGAGGATGAAATGAACTTAACAATTGTTAAGCATTGCAGAAATATGAAGCACAAGGCAGTGCGTACATAGAATCAAGAGGAAATAAGTATAAGAAATTATTCTTCATGTGATATAATGTACTGTATGTGTACACCAACAGGGTTAGATAACTCCTGGAGTAGGTGTCATCTAATATACACAAATTGTACAGTATTTCATATCCTCAGCTTTCATAAAGTTTGCCTATTTTTCACATTCATTGGGTGCTAAACTCTAAGAAAATGTTGCCTATCAATGTTACTGTATATCATTCCAACATTAAATGAAAATGAATGAATACAGACCTGAAGACAGGATCTCCCATTAAATGATCTTTCAGCTTTGACAATCTGTTAGTTTCAAGGATTCTGCAACAATCAAACAATATAAATTTCCAGATTGTTTTTATTGAATTTTCACAGCTGAGATTAAAAGAGAAACATTAGTCAATAAACAATTTAGCTATGGTATATTCTGTTTTGGGAGGTTCATCCATATGCAAATGAAATTACGGCTCTAGAAACAGCAGTGCAAGGGTCTCAACTCATTAAAGAGGGGTGTGTTTATATCTAAGTATTTAGTGTAGCAGCAAGGCTTATTAATAATACAGGAAATAAGTTTGCTGCTCCCTTGCCAGTCTCTCTCTCCCTCATCTCAGTGGTGGACGACACAGAGAGGCCATTCCATGTGGTTCAGATTTAAGGTGTTTTTCTGTCTGGTCGGATAGAGTTTCCCGATAAGGAACAACTCCCAGGGCTGAGATTCTCCGGCCACCCTAATGAATGGTCATCTCTGGTGCCTATCTGTCTGGGAGATTCCAAAGGAGAGACTCGTCACAACGTGTTTACAACCCTAAGGTCACAGAGCATTGTTACTCATCTTCCACCTTGATCAGCCAATCAGGAACTGGTAGGGCAGGGTAACCCCCACGTGGGTCTCGAATGTCCGCGGAACTTTCAACCAATGAATGACCGTAGATCTTCCGGATAAAAGAAGCAGCACAGGGCCCAGAATGGAGGTCACCCGCATGTAACCAAAGGATCTGCCTGAGGTTAGCCCAGCAGCAAGCCTTGTGAACTGCCAGTAACCACAGTGAATGCTCACCTGATCAACGAGTGAACTACGGTCGGAACTGTCGACAGCTGAATCTCAGGATTCCGGACTAGTGCTACACCGGAAAATAACTGGTCTTCTTCCCCTCTTGAGAGTGTGATTTGCTTGGCCCCACAGTCACATTTCATGTGCACAAACTCTGCAAGTTAAGCCAGGACTAACGAGCCGGTCTTCAGAGAGTCACTGCCAGCATGATGCAGCAGGAACCTCTCCCTGATTCTCTCACACCTCCAGCTGCACCAGGACTGCCTGGCACTGAGCCAGATGATTCCAATTGGATGCAGCAACAGCCTGTCTCTGTTCCCTTGTGTCTGCGGGAAATTTGAATCCACATACTGTAGATTGGATGAGTATTCAACATTCTACATTGCAGCTCGAGAATTCAATTGTTACCTCAACCCCAGTTGTTGTCAATTTAATTCCTATGAGTGATGTACTTGCTTTTGAGTATCTAGTGTAGAAGTTGTGATCAAAGCTCATTAAGTAAATGGTATAAATTAATGGTATACTGAATGTATGTCTCTTGGTAACTCTTCAAGATTGAATATACCTTTTGTATTCTGCTAACCCTCACTATAAGATCTGTTATGTTTCTATGCACATTTTATGTATTAATAAATGTATTCTCGTGTATTTTTATCCATGTGTGTGCGTTGCTGAGTTGTTCTGCAAGGTAAATGAACAAAACCCCTACAGTGATATTGGTGAGTCTGTAAGGTAGCAAATTCACAGTATGCATTACTTTACTACTAAATGCCAGCTTTCAGAGGAAATAAGTAATATTTATCTTCATGACTAAATTAGATATTATTCCCAATGTAAATGTTGCCAAAAGTTTAATTTAAGCAGTTAGCTTCTTCAAGCTTCCACTTGATAATCAATGTTTCTGATACTGGTTATTTAAAGTAGTTTAGACCACAAAGAGTTTACTTTTTTTTTCAAAATATATGATTCATCCTTCACATTCAGTGGAGATACAGTTAAATATTATTGAAGCCAATGGAAGCTTGATATGCTTCAAATCATATTAAAATCATAATAGATATATATCTATTAGCACGCTGTTCTCCAGCCCTTTTTAATTTTTTCATATTCAGTTTTGATGAAGGGATTCTGCGGTCACAATTCTCTTTTCTTAACGTGGATTTCTCAATGGATCTTCTGCCTTTTCCTGACACTCTGCTGTAAGATCATGTCACAGGATGTGTTCATAAACTTTGTACCTTTGCATCTGAAGTTCCTTCATTAAAATAAATATTTTTATAATGGGAACTAACACAGACTTCGGCATAGGAGTAATATAGACAAGAACAAAAAAATACTGAATTTATATCACACGCTTTGTACCAAAATAAAGTGTTGATCTCAGTATTCTGTGGTGTGGTTTCCAGAGGTAGAGTATTGGACCTGGAGCAGTCAATTGCTGGAGTTCGTTATTCTACTGCTGGGAAGGTCTCCTCTATTTGTGACTCAATAAGCGATGTCAGCATTGCCTGCAGTTCCAGAAACCCCGGTCTTTTAGGGGAGTCAGTTCTCCAGCACAGCCTCATGATCTCATACAGAGCTTGATGGCAGCCTTCTGGTATTGGCATCAGATTGCCTTGCAGTATAAATCTGATACATGATTTGTTGTCCATCCCTGTTCAGTGAAAAAAAAAGTAAATAGAAATATCATTACTTGGGACCCATATGTTTCTTTCTGTTCTAGGATGTAATTCAGAAAGATGTAAAATACAGCTCCAATTAACTTTTTTTTTTCTTCCACTCATGGGAATGTATTAGGCTCATACTTAACATAATGTTTATGACTGTGATATAGAGTGTGACAGAAATTTAAGGAATTGTTAAATTGAGGTTTTATGGTTTAGTCAGAATTTATCCATCCATCCATTTTCTAAGTTCTTCACCCAGTTCAGGGTTGTGGGGGATCAGCAGGCGCAAGGACAGGACACCCTGGACAGGACACCAGGACACACACAGACACAAACAGAGACACAGACACACTCACACCAGGGCCGATTTTCCTAGAATCCCATTAGCCTACCAGTGTACTTCTGGACTGTAGAAGGAAACCAGAGCACCCAGAAGATACACACACAAACACAGTGAGAACATACAGTACAAACTCCACACAGATAGCACCCCAGGTCTGGAACTGAACCCAGAGCCACAGCCTGCAAGGCTGAAATGCTAACCACTCCGCCACAGTGTCACCATAATCAAAATTTAATTGTTATTTAAGTATTAAAATAATAAAATATTCTAGAAGACAGAAACATTTGCTTTAGGAATTTGTTTTATAAAAAAAGGAATCAAATCATTAAGAATCGTGACAGACACAAGGTCTTATGACTTGACTGCCCAACCTATTGAGTTTTGACCTAGTTTCATGATTCTGGGATTTTCCCTTTAAATGAAAAAAAAAAAAAACATTCCTGAAGGTACAGTAACAATTTTAGTGTGGTATTCAGTTGCTGTGAAGCATTTTGAATAAAAAATGATCCCAAAATAATTTTAAAGTAATCGAGAAACATTTATTCATCCACGTGTGTTGTTTTATTATTATTTTATGTTGTAGGGGATAAATTCAGTTTTTGCTGTGCAGGCAGGCATTTAATGGTAACACTGTTGTGGGAAGTGTAACAATCACTTTTACATCTACAGAGGACATTTCAGCACTGTTGTTCATTCTTAAAAAGTCTAAAAATGAGCTTAAGAAAATAAAAAAAGAATCATGATTTTGTTAATGTCTTATAATTATAGTTGTAGTTAGAAAAGGTAGAAAATACAGTTTTCACATAGGGACTTTTCCAAAATTGAATTAAGTAGAACAGAACACAGTGTCTTTTAGTTGCTCAGGTCAGGGTGCTCAATTAGGATGGAACAAACTGTCGCTCTGTTGTTAAATTGAGTTAAAAAATTGATAAAAATACCTAAATACCTAAAATACCTGAGGGGAGTCCCCATTACCTGTAAAGCGCTTTGAGTGGAGTGTCCAGAAAAGCGTAAGCAATTATTATTAATTATAATAATTATTAAATAAATTAAATCAAGAATAAAACACCTGTGCCAGGAGGAGGGTTGAACAGCAGCCCAAAATGTGCACAATACCTGGATATGGCTCCTCGCCGTATGTTACAATTTCCGTTAAGAGAATTCCAAAGGACCAGACATCAGATTTAAATGTATATTCTCTTTCTAAGAAAATCTCAGGAGCCATCCATTTAACAGGAATTTTCAGATCTGGGGTGGGAAAGAGTCTGAGCTTCAGTTTTCAACACAATCTTCATGTAAAGAGATGCTAAGTTTAATTTCAAAATAATATCTGAATTATTTTGTGTGTTTTTAAAGATGAAATTAGGTTTTTACTTACACACATAATTGCACATGTACTTAACATTCATATTTCAAAGCTACATTTCAAAGTTACCTTTTATTCTTGTTTTTACCTCAGTTAATAAAATCCCAAAAGTGGTCAAAGCATATCCTTTCTTCCCTTCTAAACTAAAATTATTAAATACGTGAATAGTTTCACAGCTAATGGGCAATTTTTTCATGGAACTTTCCTTTAACACTTTATGGAAAGTGACTAAATTCTATAGCACATGAAACTTCTTTTTCCTTGATGGCAGCGATGCACTTAAAGAAACTTCGTGAAAAAAAATCATTCTAGTTATTGAAATGCTACACAAAAAAACAGTTAATGTACTATCAATGCCCAAAGAAACTGTCACTGTATTGTGCGTATAGACAAAAAGAACAGATTCAATACCCATCTCCTTCCTTTTTTCCTCGGCGAAAGTAAATTGGGCTAGTCCAAAATCGGCAATCTTGCAAGATTTCATTTCACTGAGTAGAATGTTATCTGCTCTCAGGTCTCTGTGGATAATCTTTTGTGATTGCAGGTAAGCCATGCCTTCAGTAATCTGGAAGGGAAATAATTAAAATGAAGAGAAAATAAAATTGACCAATTGCTAATATTGCCAAAACTAAAAATCATTACAGAATGATAAAGCTGTAAATTTCTGGGAAAGCAGATGTGGATGAAGTGTTAAGTAAACCCATTCTCATTTATATAATCAGTCTCACACCACAGGCTTTCATTTCTTGGTTTAAGTTCTTTATGCTGTTGTAGGATATGAGTCATAAAGATATTTTATCTCTTCTGAAATATATACAAACCTGTACAGCAAAGTCTATCATGAGAGAGTACTCAATGTCTCTCTGTTCTCTGTGACCTAAACAACAGAGGAGAAAAAAAGCATTAAGGATTTTTAATATAGATATGTTTAAATAGTAAAAAGTTGAAGTATGTTATTTTGTATACATATACTGTCTATTCAGGAATATATTTGTGTAGGGTGGGCAGCACAGTGGTGCTTGGGCTGTGGGTTCAATTCTACATGTGGGCTGTTTTACTGTACAGTATATGGAGACCCACTTTATCCTTCACAGAAGGCAAAACCCACCTAGGTGGTGATTGGCAGGCATTATGTAGCAATATGTACTGTAAAATTTCAGCACAGTAGATTAGATTTAGAAGTAAGGGATTGCTGGGAACTTTAGGTATGCCAGATTGTGTAGGACAAGACACATTTTGGCCAGAAAGTTAGAGTTCATTTCCAAACAGAACATTGATTTAATGGAAATACTAAAGGATGCTATCTCCTATAGTACAGTGCCCCTACTCACCACAATCATACATTGGTTTTAGAAACCAGGATTCAGAGGGAAAAAACACAATATACCAGTCCACTGATTCCACTTACAACAACAACCTACTGTAGTATCGCACAAAGGTCTCCCATCCCAGTATTGACAGTGTGTAAACCTACCTGTTGGATTTATTGTCTAGTGCACATTTGCAATATTTGTTTATACATATTTGGTTAAAGTTAATGTCAAGCAATAGAAACTTCTCTTTAATTTAATCTAAATGTGAAGTGGTTATTTTTTAAAGGATTCATGTTTTCCTAATCTGTAACCTTGTTACATTTCTATGTTAAAGTCCCTGATAATAATAAAAACAGAGGCAAGGCACAACATAGCATGACATAACAGGATGTGACAGTGTTAAGTGCTAATGCCTAACAGAACAATGTAAGCATTCAGCTGAAAACAACCTCAGATAGGAAGGCAGATAGCTTCATCTCATTTAGCAGATTGTTCAAGTCATTGGGATGACTTTGGAGTATGGACAAATGAATGCTTGAAGAATCCCTAATAATCCATAATCACCCTTGTTTTCTGAGACACTTCTCTACTTTGGTATCATCACGGTCCATAGCCTTGCTTTACTGAACATCAAATTAAAAGTTACAAATATATATTGTTTGTTTTCAGTGATTTAACAAGACTTTTTAACCTTTGGAAGATTAACCTCTAAGTTGCAAGGAGTATAGACATTAATGTGGGCAATGATTTTTGTCCCTCTATATTGTGCGTTCACAGTACATCAGGTGGGTAGCTGTGTCAGCATGCATAGGCTGCAAAGGAACAAGTAATAGGTTTATTCCATGCTGAAAAGAGAAGAAAGAAAACACAACATTCCGGTTATGTTTTCTATCTTCTCTTTTAAGCATTTAATACACCTATTACTTGTTCATTCACAGTACATGCACATTTGTGGTAATTCATAATTTGGTAATGAATCATGTAGTTTTTGTTAAATTAAATGTCTGAACACACAATTAATGTGAAAGAAAGAAGAGCTAACTTAATACATTCTAGGGCTTAAGGGAATGTCCTACATTGACAGGCAGGAAGAACTGAATGTTTTTAGACCTGATCTGAGAGGACTATACAGGAACCTGATACAAGCATTCAAAATTTTCAAAGGCTTTGACAGAGTCAACTTAGTGGACTTCTTCTGAATGAAGAATGAAACACAAACTAGAGCCACAAGTAGAAACCATAGAAGTCCTTTTAAAACCTAGAACAGAAGACATGTCTTAACCAACGTTTTGTGGAACAATGGAACAAGCTACTTACTGTAGCTATTCTGATAAAGTATAGTACCCTGTTTCTTTAATTAAACCAACTGGATTAGATCCTTGGATCAATAAAATGCTCAAAGGGCCAAATTACTTCCTCTTGTTTGTAATATTTGTATTTTTCTTATGTAAAAAAGCAACACAGAGTATTTGAATAATCCATCATGCTTCTTCATTTGTAAAGAAAGTGATAAAGGTACATATTAAAAATCATTAAGTAAGTATCACTTCAAATCAGTTGATCTTATTCCAAATTATTTGAATGTAAAATATGAGATTATTTTATACGGACTTAATGGCCTCTTCTCATTTGTAATTGTTCTTTATTTTCAGAAATAGAATACTTCTTAAACCCATCCATGGACTGAGAAAGTCATTTATTCTCAGTAAGGGCTGCAGCAACCTAAAGCCTATTCCAAAAAGTAGCAAGGAGTACATACAAGCACCATTAACCCAGCCAAGACCGAAGACTTTAGCAGGTGGGGAGAAACTGGTTACAGATGAAAGTCCACATTAACACAGGAAGAACATGCAATATTCACACAGAGTTTGGTCCAGTCTAGAAGCAAATCAAAGACCAAGCAGTTTTGAAGATCTAACCACCACTTCATAGTAGATGGATAAATATTGAGGTGTCCTGAGACATTTGTACTATTAATACAAAATGTAGAATAAAATAACTAAACTAAAACAACTGGACTAAAATAAAGACAAAGCAACAATTAAGAACCTTACACTGTAAGTATTTTGATAAGCTCCCGTTCCTCATGAGTTCTGTGACAATACAGAACGGTTCATCCTTGGTGCACACAGCACAGAGTTTCAGGAGCCTTTCGTGATTCAGATTCTTCATGATCATCACCTCATTCAGGATATCTGACTTCACCACTGTAAGACAAGAGATTAATTTAGTAGGAAATCTTCTGCATATGGTTTATGATGGGTGGTTTGTGAGCGAATCGTTTGGGAAGACAGTTGATCTTCCAGGAGTCATCTTGGATGACAACTTTCCCATCTTACAAGATAAACTTTCCATTGGAGCCCACGTTTCTGACCACCTTATCTGCACAAACTTCTTGTTCACAGTTCTCTTAACTTCCCACAGCAGCTATCCACACTGGGCACATTCCTCTGCAGCAGAATCTACTGCATCACCGGCAAATATAAGTACAGTGTATATCCAATACCACACACATTCAGTGCCTCTCTGGACAATTTTGTGCCACCTGGATAACATGTAATTCCAACAGCCTCATTTGCTGCATTTCATGTAGAAAATGCCCAGGCATTTACATTGGTGAGACAGGAAGAAGAGTGGCAAATCATTTCAGGGAATCCAAACAGAAGGACAGAAGATCCAAAACGATAGTTCCCCATTTCACCTATAACGGCCACAATCTTTTTGACTGCATCCTCACACGGTAGTTTCAGAACTCTGATTGCAGAAAGACATCCAAAACCAAAATTATCCTTAAATTTGGATCACATCTATCCTTCTAAACCCTTTCCATTCATTTTCAGATATTTCAGTTTTCCACGTCTCCTCCAGTTTTCCATAAGGTTGTGCACTAAGTCTCATCTGCATTATGCCGTTTCCCCCTACTCCCCTCCCCTTCTTACCTGCTCTGTCTTTTGCTTTCCTATGCCTTTATAATAATAATAATAATAATAATAATAATAATAATAATAATAATAATAATAATAATAATAATAATAATAATAATTGCTTACACTTATATAGCGCTTTTCTGGACACTCCACTCAAAGCGCTTTACAGGTAATGGGGACTCCCCTCCACCACCACCAATGTGCAGCATCCACCTGGATGATGCGACGGCAGCCATAGTGCGCCAGAACGCTCACCACACATCAGCTACCAGTGGGGAGGAGAGCAGAGTAATGTAGCCAATTCATTTATGTTACTTTCCCACACTCCCTCACACCTGAAGAAGGCTCCACAGGCTTTTTTTAACCTTTCAGCACGGAATGAAAATCTACCTGTTCTAATTGAATAGTTGGCACCCAGAGGGAGATTCCACATGTGAGAGGAATAGACACAATGGGCACTGTGTGGAGCAGGCCACTCCCCTGGATTAATTGGAAGGTGTATAACAGCAACAAGGGAGTGCTCAGAACTCTAGCTGTGCTATCTAGACTCCCTCTACTCACATCTTTTGGGAGATATGCTGTAGTCCTGTATATCCAGGTGCTAAAGCACTATATCAGCCATGTTCCCTTGCAGCCCATTCAGAATCAGAATCAGAAACTTTATTTACCATTAACAAGATATACAAGGAATTTCTCTTGGTGCAGGTTTCGACATAAATTCCAATAACATATAAGTAACAAAAAAGAAATATACAGATAAAAACAAGGTTCAGTGATATGTACAATCTAAAAGTATGTACAGTTGAGTAATAAAATGTACAGCGAATACTGTGTATATTTACAGAAAGTATCGGTAGCATGTGCCGTTAAATGAAAATGTACAACTGATCACAGAGGACGGATGAGAGAAGTGTCCTTGTTTATAAGAGTTATGGCCTGAGGGAAGAAGTTGTGCAGGTGTCGGTTAGTCCTGGTTTTTAGGGCTCTCACTCTTAGTCTCTGCTGAGAGGCAAAATTGCTGGAAGAGAGAGTGGCCGGGGTGTGAGGGGTCAGCCATCATGATTTTCCCCACCCTCCTTCTTATCTTAGACGAGTATAGATCTGTGAGGGGGGGGGGGTTTTGGGCTGCCGATGATTTTCTCTGCACATCTCACAATGCGCAGTACTTTCTGCTTTGGGTACGATGATTCAGAGCCAAACCAAACAGAAATGGAGGATGCAATGACTGATTTTATAATGGCTGTGTAGAATTGGACCACCAGTGCTTGTGACAGCCTAAATTTCTTAAGTTGTCTCAAAAAATGCATGCACTGTTGGGCCTTCTTGGTAATTGTGGCGATGGTTCTGTCCCATTTAAGGTCCTGTTGGATGACAGTTCCTAAGAATTTGTAAGACTGTGCTCTGCTAACCGTCTTTACATAAACATGTCTTAACAGAGGAAGGAGAGGGGTGGGCTTCTTCCTGAAATCAATTACCATCTCAGTTCTTTGTGTATTCAGCTCCAAGTTGTTCACTCCACACCATGAAACCAGGAGGTTTACTTCCTCCCGATATGTGGGCCAACCAGGGTTGTGTCGTCCGCAAACTTGAGAAGTTTGACAAGAAGTTTGGCGGGGGTGAAAAGGTGCAAATTGGCGGGGTGAAAGGAAGAGAATGAGGTATAAAAGGTGTCGCAGACTGACTGTGGGGGGAGGGGGGTGAAGTGGAGATCCTTTGACTCTCAAATCTTGAATAGAAAATGTTTAGGTCAGTTCAGTTCAGTGTAGTCGACTACTACATAGCCCACCTCACCAGCATTTGTAGAGCTGAAACTGAGTTTTCTCAAGTTTCTCACAATCCTATAAACCTGTAAGTCAGTTCCACGCATTATGAAGCAAGACCATCCTCTGAGACTTTCTCTTTCTTTCCTCTCATACTGAAGCCCAGACACAATCTAGAAACACTTTTCATCGTGATGGTTCTTATAAAAATTATTAATGAGTCAAGGGGTGTAGCCAGTTCCACACACAGCCTTCTTGCTCATGTGGAATCTCACTCTGTCTGAGTGCTAATTATTCACGTAGCCCTGGTGTGCCCCATTTTCAATGAGGTGTTTCTTATTAATAGATGGAATTGCCTCACAGGCCTTACATATTTAAAGAAGGAATATAAGAAAAGTTGCAGCTCACATTGTATAGTACTGTATATGCATTCAGTGATCGTTAATTTGCCATATTTTTTAAGCAAGCAAAAACATATTTTATTACATACACCATAAATGCCATAGTTAAACAACATTGCTTGTTTTTTTTCAAATGTATGTAGATTATAGACACAAAATTATCAGATCAAAGACTTACAGTATTCATTAATCTACTGTAGGTCAAAGTTATTTAAAGCAGATTTTTAAGACTTGCATCGCATCCTGTCAGCCACAGTGCTTGCAGACAGTGTTGTTTTATACTGTTAAGGTATCATATTTGCCCAACAGAGTGATTACTGATGGACAGAAATCTCTCTGAATTGGTCACAAGGTCTTACCCATAAGCTCTTTGATGGCCACAGGAATCGTGTTGTTCCAGAGACCTTCCCAGACTTCTCCGAATTCCCCCTTCCCCAGCAGCTTCACCTTCTTTAACGAGCTTCTCTCCACCTCCCACTCTGATGCGTAGGACAATGTGGGGATGGATGGTGTGTCTAGCTAGACAATTTCATAAAAAAACAAAAAAGAAAAACATTAAAACATATTGGATTAGCAGAAGGTGGGCAATTACAGTTTCAAACTTGTACAGTAGCTAGACTGAACTTTAGATAAATGTATTTATTTTCTTCATCATTTTATTGAACTGCCAACGCTTTTATTTAGGGTGATACATGAGTTAACACATACATGTACAGTACATACTGTACTGTATAAATTGTATAAAAACATATAAATATTTATATGTAAAGCTCTTGTGAAGCTTTATGTAAGAAAATCACAGAAATGGAGTTTGATATATCAATGGAAAAGTGTAATTAAAAATATATATATAAAATATATATCAAGTTGGTACAGTAGCTGTGTCAGCATGTGTAGGCTGCAAAGGAACAAGTAAAGGTTTATTCCATGCTGAAAAGAGAAGAAAAGAAATGCAATGTTTCAGCTCTGGAGCCTTCTTTGGGTGTGGCATTATTGAGAGCCCCAGACCATTAGACCAAGTAAATGCAAATGGTAAAATAAAAGGAAAAAATAATTTAATTTATGAGACACAGGTACTGTACCGTCTACCCCATAAATTGTTAAATATGTGCTCATCAACTTTTCTTTTTTTATTTTCTTTAAGTGCGAAAACACGGTGCACCTAAGGCTCAAATTCCAAGCTTCACTGCTTTGAAGAGGTCTGGGCACATTTAGCATTAAACATGTAACAATCAAATGTAACAATTAGCAGAACATTTGTGAAAATCTGCTTTGAAGAGAATCATAGATGTGAGGTGCTGTCTAATTAGAGAGCAGATTGCCCTTTGACGGGATGATGAAAGCAGCAGCACAGAGATTACACTTAGTGTGTGCACCCGATGGACTGATTTATGATTTAACAACTTTATTCATTTTTAAATGATGCAGTAAAACTGCCAGAATAGGCAACACTGTCATACCATTTTGTGACAAAAAATGTTTTCCAGATTCAAATACTAAAACAAATACCTCTAATGAAATAATTAAAAATGCAAAGGTTACTGGGGTGGCAGTGCTGACTCACAGTGCTGGGGCTTGGGTTCAGTTTCCAGGGTGCTATCTGCATGGAGTTTGCATGGAGCTCTCCCCATTGGTAGCACAACTTTCCCCTGGCTGCTTTGGTTCCTCCCACAGTCTGAAGACATACTTGTACGTTAATTGGCTTCTGGGAAAACTGGCCATGGTATGAGTGTGTACGTGTTTGTGTCCGTGTGTGCCCTGTGATGGACTGGCATCACATCCAAGGTGTACCCTGCCTTGCGCCTGTTCCTTTGCTGGGATAGGCATGACCCCGTATGGGATAAAGTGATTAGAAAATGGATGGATCCAAGTTTTAAGAGGGATACAATATCATGAAAAAGGAATTGTTAGTTTGCCTTTACAATCTTGTTATGTTAGTTAGAGCAAATAATGTGAAAACCTTTTTTTTGAAAGAAACTAATATTACTTCAACAGCATTGATTTCAACAACACAGCTGGGTGGCTTGTTCCTGATTCCCATGCCACCTGTGTACAAGAAGTGCCTTCAGTGTTAAATGCTCTATCCCTTAGTTTGTGCACGTGTCTTCTGGTTTGGGTTTCAGTTGACCCTGAGGAAGTTTATTGGGTTAATGTGAGAAGTATTGAAACTCTCCCACCCTCCCTACTATCATCAAGAATGGCTTCATTTGGATGAATCAAATGAACATTGGTCCTAGAATCTAGGGACTGCCATAGATTGATCGTATCCTTCTCTGCCTTCCTATCCTATGAAGGGAAAGGCTCTACTTTGTTCTCCAAGCTAAAGCACAAAGGTAATGCCTACAAAATAAAAAGGTTTGGTCTTTGGTCTGTGTGCTTCTCTGCAATTATGAGGTATTCCCATGTAAATACGCCAGCAGCCATATCACCCTGCAACTCACATCTGGCAACCCTCTGCTGCTAAGCAGATGTGAGCCTGGTCAGTACCTGGATGAGAGACCTTGTGGGAAAAACTAAGGTTGCACTAGGGTGTTAGTGGGGCCAGCAGTGGTGCTGGGGGTCCTGCAGTCTACAGTATGTGGGTCCTTATGCCCCAGTATAGTGCTGGGGACACTATACTGTAAAAAGGCACTGTTCTTTGGATGAGACATAAAAATGAGGTCCTGATTCTCTGTGGTCATTAAAAATCCCAGGACATTTCTTGAAAAGAGTAGGGGTTTAATCCTGGTGTCCTGGCCAAATTCCCCCTTTGCCTTTACCAATCATGGCCTCCTAATAATCCCCATCTATGAATTGGCTTCATCACTCTGTTCTCCTACCCACTGATAGCGGTAGTGTTGAGTGCTCTGGTGCACTTTGAGTGGAGTGTCCAGAAAAGTGCTACTGTAAGTGTAAGCAATTATTATTATTGAAATGCAGGGTTTTTTTTTTTCATTTTAATCAAGGGCATTCCTTTTATTTCTGTTAATTCCATGTGTGTCCTTTACCTGAAAATTATTTGAACTTTTCTCTGTTCTTCTATAATCTGTTTTTAATATGAAGCATCTGGCAGCATGAAAAATCTGTGTCTTGCATTCATGGAATCACTGGAGAAGAATTCTGCCTTATAATTGGGCACCACTAGTATAGGCTCTACTCATAAAATCTACACATAAAACTTTCAGAAAAACCACATTCTCCTCATGTGGGTGCAATTCCTGACACATTTCTCAGTGACGTCACTGGCTTGATTAGAGAACTGGAGAATACAATCCTGGTAATAGCTGACCAGACACAGAAAGGCCCACACCAACTGTATATCTTGTTTTAGATGTAGGCCAGTCTTTCTCTTTCTGGAGCTCAGGCAATACTGATGCATCCCCAGCTACAACTGATACTTCTCAATACTAAAACCTCAGTCTTATGACAATTTCTGAACAGAAGTGCAGTGTTGTATGTATAATCCTGCAGTGTTTGTTAATTCCATAATATGCTGCTTGTAATGAAACAAATGTATAACAAACGAAATAGTGCACAATTTAGAATTTTATAAAGGGTTCAATTACACCACTACTTAGGAAATCCAAGTTACATTTGGCTAATGGCATTGATCCCACATTGATAGATGCCACATGTGCTCACAATGATCCCCTTTACCAGTTTAGCTACACTTGCTTAAGTGCTCCTTAAACAAGTGTACTTCTACAAATACTAAATACACCTTCAGCTCCTCATGGTTTAACTAGAAAAGCTGCTCCCATATGTAATTGGAAGATCCCATATTATGCCACACAGAGTAAGACATAATTATTTTGAGGCTGGGATATTTTGTTCCGGTTAGTTGGATAAAAGATTTTTTTAGCTCTTCCTTTGTCTTCCCAAGCACTTTGTCAAAATCTATCTGAGTTATAGATATAAGCCTGAGGCTTGTAGTGACGATGAAGTGAGTGGCTTAACATTGTATACGTATTTCTGTCAAAGACCGCTATCTACCTGCTGGTAGATTGGTCCTAAACATTTGAGTTGATTGATAATAAACTATTATGAAGGTGTAAAAATGATGCATTTAACAAAATAATTACTGTAAATCCCAAGATGCGAACACACGAATTACAACAGCAAGTGTATATAATTGCTTAAATCAGAATGCATCAAAGTCAAGAATGGAATTTAAAATTTACACAGGACAAAAAAAATGCATTCCATTTCCCTATGACTTCAAGGGAAGGGATCTATGAAGCCAGTGCTTCATCAAAAGGTCAAGGAACAAGTAAAGGTTTATTCCATGCTGGAAAGAGAAGAAAAGAAACACAGCGTTTCAACTGTGGAGGCTTCTTTGGGCTTATAACCTGGGCGAATATGTTTTGACAGCTAACAAGAGTGAATATTCTTTTGTCCAGCATGAAGATTTAATATTCAAGAGAAACATTTGTGAAAGAAATAAGAAAAACATACTAATTGATCTGAAAACAAAGGTTTTTTAATACTTACCATAACACAAGGTTTTTGAAGTTTAGTGCACAGTCCATTTGCATTTTCAGAATATGCTGCTACCAACTCTGAAAGATTCTTAAACTTCATCCCTTTAACCAGATAGCAGTCCCCATCGGATTCCAGAATTCTGTAATGTCTTGCGAAATTCCCATTCCTCACTGTAAAATGTTAAATAAAATTGGATGGAAATGCTTCAACAATAGCATTAAGAAAAAAAACCCACAATGTTTCGGCTTTGGAGCCTTCTTCCGGTGTTGCTTACACCCAGAGAAGGCTCCACAGCCGAAACGTTGAGTTTTCTTTCTTCTCTTTTCAGCATGGAAAGATTACTTGTTTTTTGGCAGCCTATGCATGCTGATGCAGCTACCCACCTGAACAATGTATATTGATATGATAGATAGATACAGTATTTTAAAGATACTATATTTATTATAAATATTATATTCTTTATAATATGCCATAAGAGCATGTAATACCAGATTGACCAAATACCAGATTTAAGCATTGTTCAAATATACCTGCTATTTTAAACATTACGGTGCTGAGAAACCAATTGTAAACCCCTAGGTTCTTCCTTACAGAGCTGCTTCAGGTCAGGGACACCTGAGTATTTCCTTGCACAAACAGCTTGTTTCAGGTTGTTAGATAACATTTCTATTGGTTTTTGGGCTAGGCTTTGATTTAGGTAATGCAGAATACAAACATTCTTCTTCTTTAGCCATTCTGTTATTGTTGTTTTTGTTTGTTCAGTATGTTTCAGACCATTATCTTGCTGCATGATCCACTGTCAGCTTTTTCCTTATGACTTCGTAGCTTAAGCATTCATTCACATTTACAAGGAACAAGGAAACATGAGAGGAAAATATAAAAAACTGTTTTATGCAACATATTTTCGAACAATTATTTATAGTTCTTTTATGTAGAAAAGTCCCCTTCGAAGAACATTTGCTAGGAAAGAAAAAGTATTTTATGAATAGAGAAAACTAAAGTTTGGAGCTAAGTAGTCTCTACCTCATTTTTCTACACAGGAAACATGAGTGTTCTGTTTGTATGTATATCAAACAAAGCTCTTCTTAAAGGCATTGTGAATATTTCTGCAGTCATCACCCCACCCGTCACAAATATGTCTTAGTCATGCTCTAAAGGGGCTTCAACAATTTTCAATAATTATGTCATTAAGCTTCAGAAATATTACAAATGATCATAGAACAACCAAGCCATAGAATTCCATAGTATTTTATCACACTTGAAATGTCCTGCTAAGGCAGATGATAGATACTGTAGGAGATCTGCTCACCTGTGAGAAAATAGTGCTGTTTTCTTGTATTTCTCCACACAAGAAAGGCTCCTTCACCATTTTCTTCCCTTAACAGGCATCGCTTAGCTTCCATGCACTTAGTGATGTTTTCAAAGTACCATCTGATAAAGAAAAGTTGAAGATGAAATGTTTAGCACATTGCATATATACAGTATGCTTCTAATTGTTAGTTGCAGGTTTATTTCATTTTTATCTAAAATGTTACAAACAGACATAGTTTGATCCTTTTAAAAACTCTTTACATTTCCCATAGGAAAATTATCCATGGACATTAAACTGTTGATAAAGAGTTCTGTACTTTATGTATCTGTAAAAGATGCACTTTACAAGCACATTAGCTTTAACAAGAGTGGTGGTTGTATTGTAAACTACTATAATTTTCTTATATATACAACCATCCTTTGATTTATGAATGTACAGTAATTCATTCTTTGAAAAATGTTCATAAGGTGGAAATTCGTAAATCAACAATTCAATTTCTATTATTTTGCATGTTAAACCTTCCAGTTAATATAGCTCCTGAGGTTTAGAAAATCACCCAGCATTACTTGTTTGTACCTAACAGGGCCATGAAACATCAATATGAGGACACTTGTTAACTATAATTAATTATAGTTAATTATACTATAGCGTCTGTTTGAATACGCACGATGCAGTGAAAATCTCTTCGTAATAAGAAAACCAGATGTGAAATGACATGCTATGTTATATCAAGCATTTGTAAACTGGCTATTCATATTTTGAGGAATGGGATCTGCAACACAACCTTAGCAGTACAATTTTTTTCCATTTTTGTCTTTTCAGTGCTTATGTCTCTCACCTAACATTATGTATTTACTGTATGCCACAGAATGGTAAAGGTGGGTGTGGAGAAAGGTTTTGGGCACAATATTGACTTTAAGTATGCTTAAAATGACTAATATCTTTGTCCAGGTTGGTGTGTTTGTCTTTCTTATTTGTTATTCCTCCCACAAACAGTAGGACATTTGGCAATGAACAAAATTAGTTTTTGGTTACAGCAAACCCCGATGTTCATGTATTTCTGTAAGTGTGTGTCTCCTATAGATATTGTGTGTAATAATAAAAATAATAATAATATACAGTATAGCACTTTTCTGGACACTCCACTCAAAGCGCTTTACAGGTAATGGGGACTCCCCTCAACCACCACCAATGTGCAGCATCCAGCTGGATGATGCGACGGCAGCCATAGTGCGCCAGAACGCTCACCACACATCAGCTATTAGTGGGGAGGAGAACAGAGTAATGAAATCAATTCATAGATGTGTATGTGCTCTCTTATGAAAAACATAGTGATACGCTGACCATGTTGAGAGTGAAAAGGGGCTTAGCACCCTTAAAATTCACTGGTCCCCACTTATACAGGTGTGCGGAGAAGAGAAAGTACTTCATACAGTCCTTCAATCAAGGGCACAACACTACTGTCTGCAGTAAGGTCTTGAACCCACCATTTGGGTTACTCTTTGGACTTGCACAATCTGGTCTACCTAAAGTTCTCCCTTAATTCAGATCTGCTGACTAGAGGGGCTGGTGGAGTATAATGGCTGCAATCAACTATTAAGCAGGAGGGAGCTGCTCTTCAGTGGTGTGTGAGATGGGGATCCTCTTATGTGTAAAGCCCTTTTGAATCCTTTGCCTTGAAAAAACACTATATAAATGTCAAACACATGTCATTTTTGCATAACAAATGAGAGTTTAAAGGAAAAGTTGCCCTCGCAACACATTACGTTATCATCTTGCCCATCTTTGTGTTCCAATCATTTTTTCTTCTGTCACTTATACTTAAAAATAAACTTAATGATAACCGTCATATAACACAATGAGGTACAGATAAGATAAGGATCCACAATAAATGAATATGAAATACTATAAAGTCTTCCTTTCTCATTACTTTGATTTTATTGACTTTTGCATCTATAAGAATAATAAAAAAACTTTTGGTACTGGCGTCTATGCAAACTTTTAATCCAAGTCAAAAACGTGTGATATATTGATGTGAAATGTATCTGGCACATTTCTGAATAGTGAAAAACACATCATATTACATCTAAAATTTAAAAACAGCAATCCCTATCCGGAGCAAACTAATGAAAAGCCTCATGATGAAGACAAATCAGCTTACATACTTCATGAGAATGAAATAAAAACAAAAAATAAATTATACTGATGACTCATAAAGTTGAAATTGGACGCCGCTGTCAGCAAGCAACCTACATGTACAGTATTAAAATAAACCATAACAATACAAACATGACTGAACTTGAACATGACTCTTTAGGACTGAAAAACAAAATCCTGCGAAAGTAGGGGTCTATAATAAGATGCTTCCTGCATTTGATCAAATTAGTATATCTCATCTAAATTTATACGCTATCTTTTTTATCTTCTCAGATCTGAGATGGCCTGTCTCTAGTACTACAGTGCAAAAACTGTGTATAAATATGACCAAAAAATAATGTTTCTATACTGGACATCAAAAAACCTTAGCACTTACAAAGTACCTAATTCTCTTATTTATAAATGTATGTTCTTAATATCAAGAAAATTAGAAACCTTTTGAAGCAGCTGTAATAAGACTTTAATAAAATTGAATAAATGTTATACTATAGCAGCAGATTAAATTAAGAAATGATAAAACTCTATATTGTTTATAAAAAAACTTCTCAAAAACTCATTAGCTGGTGCAAAATATTGCATACAGGTGAAACAATACAATGTATGAGGTGTAGACTTATGAAAAACCTAAGCCTGGCATATGGCAAAAATTATGGTTTATATTTTTAAAACTAGAATTTAAACTGAATAGTGTTGTATTGAAATTGTACAATATACTAAGACAATTCTGTACAATATTGGTCACCATGTTTAAAAAATATTAGTTCTCTGGAAGTCTAGAGAAGAGTATTTTGATATATTTAAAGGCTCAAATGAATGTTCTACAATGACAGGTTGAAGGAAATTCTATTTATGCTATCTTTACCTTCTCTCCAGTAAACATACTGTATGGACAAATGTGTTTGATGTTCGAAAAAAATGATTATTTGTTTTACCCAAAGGCTTGTGGGAATACAGAACAAGCTACCAAATCATGCTGTTGAAGCTGATATTTTAGTTAATTTTAAGAAACAGCTCAATGAGATCCTTTACTGATCATCAGTCATGCTAGATGTTTGATGAGCAGACTCGATCATGACCCTTCTTATGTTCTTATAATTGTTTAATTGAAAATAAAAATATAAAATCTACTTGTTCTAGAATGACATTGCACTGAGCAAAGTCAAATTTGTCAAATGATTCATTAATCAATTTCCTGCAAAAAGCAAGGGTTAAATTTATTAAAATCTCTAAGTATTTCTTTAAATAAAATTTAACCATATTTTAACTATCTCTATATATCCTATAAATAAGTGTCCCTGTATAGAACAATATAGTGATTTCTGAAGGTTTTTTGTTTCTCTGGGATGTAAGACTTGCAGTATCAGCATGCATCACCATGGTTAAAAAGCTCTCCAAAGACTGCAAATGGTCATTGACCTCCACAAGATGGGGGGGGCTATGAAAGAAGCTATAAAATGCCATATGTACTACTTTTCTCTATAGTTTCCATTATTAAGAAATTTAAAGTTAATAATCTTGGAAGGAAAGATTTGTAGATCTCCGACATGGGCTGGCATCGTCAGGATACAAAGTTTCAAAAACAACAAGTCACAATCGTAATCCCTCACTTTAAGGGAGCTGTGGATTTTTCACATTTTAGTTGATTATGTGCACCTGCCTCCTATCCTGCCCCTCCTTATTTAAGCCAGACGCTTTCACTATTCTGGGCTCAGCATTGGAAGATGGACGCCAGGAAGCCTGCCTACCAGCGGGTCCTGGAGTGACCTGACGGCATCGCCTTCACCTCGGCGTCCTGACCATCTGAGTCCGGGGCTAGAAGCGCCTGGCCCCATTAACCTGTTTTTATTCCCCGTCCCTGCACTTGGTCCCTTTACGGTTTTTAAACTCTGTCTTGTTTTTGTCTTGGATGGATCACCTGGTACTGGACTTTTGGACTTCGCCCTGGATTGCCACCTGGACTCCTCTGGACTTGTTCGCCATGGCCACACTCCCCCTGAGCACCAGAGCACAGTCGACAAGCCCTCCTGTTTGTCAACCTGCCCAGTTCCTCATCGTCTCCTCCCCATGTCTGTTTCACTTACTTCTGGATTATACCGTCTGCATAGGGTCCTGACCTACGCATCGTTACAGGTATTGCCTGCATGAATGTCACAATCATGGTCAAGTTGCAAGGAACAAGACTTTTGACTGATTAACTATCTACTGTACATGTGAATGAGAATTAGAACCATATCCTATGATGGCATGAAAGGAAACTGAGGTTTTGTGCTCATCTGCATTATACTGTATGTGGTGTGTAAAATGTGAAATACATGTTGATAAAACACTCATATCCACTGTGAAATATGATGGTGGGCTCTATTATGTTTTCGGCTTAGTTGATTAATGATTAGTCATTCCAGATTGAGAGGGTAGGAAAATAGTTCCCAAACCTTTCAAATATAAATATACAGTATAAATAACAAGGAACTAAGGTAGAAAGTGGAAACACACTTAACTAAGAAGACAGTCCTACAGTGATTGTTTCTTAAACAGTCATCACCTTAGTGCTTGTTTTAGTTCTGCATCAAATGCCAATATCAGAAAAAAAGCACAGAAAATATGCATCTTTAATTTGCCATGGATAGGTCAAACTTAAAGTGCTCCCTGCTGTTTATGTACAGATGGCTATTTGACCCATCTATGTCAAAACCAGAGTCAAACCCACATGGCTATCTTTGGGACATTTAAAAGTACTTAACCTACTTTGAATTTACCCATGGTCAAGAAATAAATGACACACCAGCACCTAAATGTATCTTTTTTTTTGCATTGAAATATGTTTGTCCAGAAAATGGCCTAAATGAAATGATACTAAGATATTTGTCTTATTTGGGACACCCTTTTTTTGTTTTAGTAATTTATGTCTATCTGTGCTATTTCCATACTTTATTTCAAACAACTCATATGCCGAGATTTCTAACACCATTGTTTTGCTGTTATTATTAGTGAGATTTAGATTATCTACATGTTCTTCTTTCATTTTATGCTGCACATATGATTATTTTAAACCTGCCCTGAAGTCAGAAGAAAACAACCTGACTTCCTTAAGAAGCAGATCTTGGAGAAACAGGAAGAACTCCTTTGAATTCCTATCATACCTCTCATCATAGTTTTAAAGAAAAAGTACAGACATGAGTACTGTGCTGTATATGTAGTAATGCCTGGTGACCAAACATCAAAAATATATACTGTGTTTGTATAAAGATTTGATTAAATTTACATTAGCTCCTTGGAATTGTCCTATGTTTCAATAACCAGTTATTAAAAATAAATCTATCTTATTTTTTTATTTTTGAAACGTCCACACATTTCTCTGAAAATAATCTGAAAACACAAGGAATTTGACTCTGCATTTGTATAAGTATCATTGACATAATGGATGACACTAAATAAGAGTTAGGACGAAAAGCATGCCCATATACGGTAAATAGTATAATACTTATCATACATACAGTACATGCAGTGTTTATCTCAAATGATTACTACACATCTGTTGCAGGATGTTTCATGTCAATTTCTGTCTTCAACTGTTTTTCGCTAAATGTTATTCCTACACTGCAATTCAGCCTCTTCTAGATACAGTAGGCGGCTTGGTGTGATTTAAGATAGAAATTAGACTTAAAAACATCAGTTCTTTAAAATGGTATACTTACGGTGCAGCTTCAAGACTGTGAATAGGCCTGATAAGTTGTTTAGGGACATAGCCCTTTTCATCTGTTACTTGACTGTATCTACCTGACTTTACAGTCAGTTTTCTCACGTAAACCCAGTGCTCTGTCTCGTTGATGATTTCCAGTATATCCCCTCGTTTGACAGTGAGGTCCATAGGAGTGCGAGGACTGTAGTCATAAATAGATGCATAAGCACTGTAAGGGTCAGGGATTTCACTCTCCGCTTGTTTGTGGCAGCAAGAGCACCGGCACTGGTCACAGAAAGCAGCATTTCCCATTTTTGTTGTGTCTCCCGCCACCACCTCATACACTGAATACCAGAGACACACATTGCTTTCTTTAGCACACAAAGGCAGAAGAAACAGGTTTTACTGGTTTTATAATGTTCATGGGTGTCTTCAGAACCTACCCAGGCTTCCAAACAACCATTGCTGCTCACAAACAGGACGTTCTGTTCAGAAATGTTCACTACGCTCACTATCAGTATAATACTGATTACCAACAGACTGCTGTACTTTCTGGTCACTAGTACGAGTTTAATATTTTAATAGCATTTGTACATTCTCAGTTGTTACAGCATTAGGATACTTGTAAACCCTAAATTTTGTTGTAAGGTTGAATTACAGACCTGTAAATCAGCACTGCTGACCTCCTCAATGTAAGGTACTGTAAAAGTAAATTGCTACAGTACATATACCGTATCTATGTCTAATGGCTAGTAAGAAAACCTTCCTGGCATAAAGTTGATGATTTCCCCAGCTCACAAGGGCAGTACTGAAGCTAACCACACGGGGGAGCCGAGGAGCTGATTCATGGGGCATCCCTTTGGTAAGGTTAAATAATCACCTCTTATCCCTCTGTCACAACCCATACTGTACTATAATAAGATTTTAATCAGAAGTGTTTTAAAATATTTCCACTTCATCATCAGTTGTTAAATAGAAAGTTAAAGAAAAGTTTAACTTTCTCAGCTCTGGTTCTTAAAGCTTAACTTGGCTCACAGAGTTCATTTTAAAGTTTGAAACATAAAATTAACGTTTCATGTGCTGTCCTCTAAATCAGATAAAGCTATTCCACACACATGTTGTCTTCCATGCTAATTGCCCTTCAGAGATATACATTGATCTAAATGCAGCTTTCAAAAAGCTTTCAGCTTTAATGCTGGCATTCCTCTACTCAAAAAAGAACTACAATTCTGCTCTGATTGGCTGTCCTGTACTGCTGTTTCCTCAAAGCCAACTCCACAGCCAAATAAATACAGCCTTCCAATCAGCAGGTGTGTGACCAACCAATCCCAGAACTCACCTCCTTAATCTGAGGGAAATTTGAGGGGATACCTACCGTTAGAAAACAATATTCTGTATTGTATTTCCATTGAACCAATGAACACAATAAAAATGCAGACACTTGGTAACAAAATAAATAACCCTTGAAGTAAAAAAATAAATGCTTATTTTGTGAAAACAAATGTATGACAAAGGCCAGAACTGTGACCGACCACCCAAGCTAAAATTCATATGCTGGTATGATTTTGTCCTTCGGTTCAAGTGGCACTTTCAATCATAGTTTAGACAAAGACAGGCAACAACTATAATACATGTTCAAAGAATTAGAAGGAAATACAGAAAATATGATTATGAAGTCCTTCTTTTGCAGCAATAACAGGCGTGCTGTGAAAAGAGGGTAAAATTTCCCTTTACTGTAGGTAATATACTGTACAATAACTGCTTAAAACCCCCTGAACAATAAAAGTGGATTTCCGTGCATAATGTTGTACTGAGAGATTCCTAGATCAATCGGTTTGTTAGCAACTGAAAATCAAATGACCAAGAAGTTAAACGGCAGCCTCTCATTTTCTTATAATTTTATATATTAATATTCAGTAAATGTTATTTTATTAAGACTAAACAACTAACACCTTCCCTTTAATCACATAATTTAATTATATAACATTTTTGCTTGTAATAGACTCTGCTTTATTGACATTAAGAAATGTTTACTAAATAATTATTTATGATCAGCAACCATTAAAAATGCTGATAACCAAATAAATCAAAGTAACATAAAAAAATACAGTACGCACATACCAAACATTAATGACAAATCATGATGTATGATTGCTTATGCAATACCCCATATGTTAATATTATACATGTAGTATTTTTTTCATATGTCCCATATGAACAGCAGAATTAAAGGTTTCTAATTCTAATATGTGTACCATCATACTTTCTGATCTATATACAGATATTGAACGGATATCTATATGCTTTCAAACACCAGTAAATCTATTGAAAATACAAGTTTGTGTGCTATACTGTAAAAGATGATTACTGATTTGAAAGTGAAACAATTATGGACAAACAGTACTGAATTGATTGTATATTTAACATATAAATACAATTGAAATGCTGAATAATATTAACAAGCATTTCCGATTCCAATAAACACTTCATTCTAACAACATAAGATGATGGCTAGCCTTAAAGAACAATTACTAAAAACTGTCCCTGCATCTGATATCTCACTTGAGACAGTCATAATGGCTAAAGATCCAGGTGGCCAAACATTTGTGCTTATGTTTAAATCATACTAAATCATACTATAATCATACTAAGCCAGTTCTCAGTTACTGTAAATAACTAAGTCATCCTTCATATAATATCAATAGGAAAGACAGGAAAAAACAGTGAAAGTAGAAAGTAGAAGAGAGACAGAGGAGAAGAGATACCGCAGAGAGAAACCTAACTCAAAAGACCAAGAGGCCAGAATCTGTCTAGGTAATCTCAGCACTGAGAGGACTGGTTCTTAGGCCTTAAGACTTGTCTTTGTTAAATTTAATTGAACCTGAGTTTGTGGAAATTTTGATTTGTGTTATCCTTTGACCTTAAATAAATCCTAAGTTGTTTATTTATTCTCTGTATTTCATAGAGAAATAGGTTCTCACTTGTCGAACACATCTTTAGAAAGTGATTTATTTCCAGGCAGGATCTTTTCTTTAAATCTTTCCCTCTTTTCCCTATACCTGTGACTTGTGATCTCAGAGAGAGTTCTGTATTTTCTGTGTTGACACGGGCAGGACTCTTAGTCGCATGTCTGTAATATCAATATGTAGCCATAAATTTCTGTGTGTCATATGGTAAATTATAAGTTTCCCACCTGGTCATTGCTTTGATATCATGTAATGTCTGGTATTCCCCAATGATAATTAGCGCATAATTTTAAAATTTTCAGAATTTGCTTGAATACAGATGTCTGGACCTAATGTCATTTGTGATTTGATTTCTTCTTCTAACCTCCAATGTTATTACAGTATCTATATACACAAGACTGATTCTGTGATCAGCCTTGAGCCCTAAGACTGTCAGGCCTTGTGACACACTGTAGCTTTATTCACCACTGTGTGGCTCTAGTGAGCTAGGAAATGATCAACTGAGAAAAGGTGATCAAATCCCAACTCAGGACAAGCAGCATCATTGCACTATAGTAGGGAACCTACTGGGGAATCAGATTAACGGCTTTGGATTTGTGCCTGACCTTATTGCATTCCGTAAATCTACGGCAGATGTATTGTATTTTTCCTAATGAAACAAGTGATTTAAAACTAAAACCAGGGTCACTGTCATTAAATACTGTACATATTCTAGAGGTCCTTTAAATTATTCAAATAGTGGCACTTTCTATAGAAACTGTAATGTGGACTGAGATAAACAAACAGAAACTCAATAACAGAGAGAGAGAAAAAAAAATACTTAAAAAGGCCCTTGCAGTTCCAAAACCATACCAATCTGAAACAGTTATGGCCACTAAACCACAAGATCTTATAATCCAAATACATAAAAAATTGTACGATGACAAGATGTCAGTAATGAATCTTGTATAAACTGTATATTCGTGAACATTGGGACGATGCAGAACCACAAGATCCATTATGTGGGAAATCTGTACCCTGCAGATCTGATACTGAATTGTGTTTTACATGTGTGACAGCTCTGGACCCTACTGTTGTAATGCTGTAAAGTGTGATATGCTGTGATACTGTTAACCGCTCCAGATACTTTTCTTCAAAACGTGCACAATTAGTTTGTGTGCTTCCTTCCATTTCAAGACAAGGCACTTCTTGAAACCCTTCTGTGTTTATTCTCAGTCGTTTTCCCCATGTATTCCTGCTGCAATTTGGTCGGCGGTCCTTTTCCGTCCTGTTGCTCTCAAACATGCTTCAATTGCCTCTCGCATCGTTGGGTGGGCATCCAGCCTAGACCTGGCTTCAGTAAGTGAGCAATTCCGTGCCAGGATCACCACTGCTGTGGGCACCACCTGCAAAATAGAATATCAGATGTTAATCTACTTTCATTAATATGTGAACCAATCAATCTCCAGCCAAAGAAGCAAACAAAGAAGCTCCCGTGCACATGCAGCAGAACTGCTATGTATCAAAGAAACGTCATGTGATATATCCCATATCTGATAATAACCTGATTATGAGAAAAAATAAAATAGTGCATTCTCCAACAATTTCTCAGTTTGGAATCCACAAAAAATGAATATGAAATACTATAAAGTCTTCCTTCCTCATTACTTTGATTTGAGTGACTTTTGCATCTATACGAATAAAAAAAAAACTTTTAGTACTGGTGTCTACGTAAACTTTTAATCCAAGTTAAAATGTGTGATATATTGATGTGAAATATATCTGGCACGTTGCTGAATAGTGAAAAACACATCATATTACATCTAAAATTTAAATACAGCAATCCCTATCCAGAGCAAATTAATGAAAAGCCTCATGATGAAAAAACAAATCAGCTGACATACTTCATGAGAATGAAATAAAAACAAAAAATAAATTATACTGATGACTCATAAAGTTGAAATTGGACACCGCTGTCAGCAAGCAACCTACATGTACAGTATTAAAATAAACCATAACAATACAAACATGACTGAACTTGAACATGACTGTTTAGGACTGAAAAACAAAATCCTGTGAAAGTAGGGGTTTATAATAAGATGCTTCCTGCATTTGATCAAATAAGTATATCTCATCTAAATTAATACGCTATCTTTTTTATCTTCTCAGATCTGAGATGACCTGTCTCTAGTACAATGGTGCAAAAAAGTGTATAAATATGACCAAAAAATAATGTTACTATACAGGGCAATTCACTTATGTATATGCTAATATCAAGAAAATGAGAAACCTTTTGTAGAAGCTGTATTAAGACTTGAATAGATGTTATACTATAGCAGCAGATTAAATTAAAAAATGATAAAACTCTATATAGTTTATGAAAAAAAACCTTAAAATACCCAACTTATTAGCTGGTTTCAACATATTGCATACAGGTGAAACAATACAAACATTAGATATAAAATGTAAAACACTATGTTTGAAGTGTAGACTTATGAAAAACATGTCTGCCATATGGCAAAAAGTATGGTTTATATATTTAAAACTAGAATTTAAACTGAATAGTATTGAAATTGTACAGTACACTAGTAAGACGATTCTTTACAATATTGGTCACCCATGTTTAAAAAATATTACTTCAAGAGAAGAGTATTTTGATATATTCAAAGGCTGAAAGGAATGTCCTACTATGGCAGGTTGAAGGAAATTCTATTAATGCTATCTTTACCTTCTCTCCAGCAAACATACTGTATGGACAAATGTGTTTGGTGTTTAAAAACAATTATGACTTTTTTTTTACCCAAAGGCATGTGGGAGTACAGAACAAGCTACCAAATCATGTTGTTGAAGCTGATATTTTAGTTCATTTTAAGAAACAGCTCCATGAGATCCTTTACTGACCATCAGTCACGCTAGATGGTTTATGAATGGATACAAGTTATGAAGGGTTACGATCATAACCCTTCTTATTATATGTTCTTATAATTGTTGAATTGAAAATAAAAAAAACAAAACAAAATCTATCTACAATCTCAGCAGTCGCCAGACGTGATTTTGATTAAGAGGGAATATAAAGTATTACTCTGCTGTTTGAGTACTTACTTGGTTCTTTGTACTTGCCATTTGGGTATGTTTTGTGACTTCTGATGTTCTTATGGGATCTGTCAACTCATCAGTGTCATAGATTGCTTGAAGAAGTGCCTCCTGACATCTCAAACGGGATTGACCAGTGACCCTCTAGATAGAAAAAAGGACAGTTAAAAATGACCACTCATGAAGTTATATACTGCAGATTGTGGAAAAATAAATCCTTATATAAGCACTAAATAAAGATGTGCTTGTAATTCAGTGCCCAAGAGGAAAGAAAAGTTAATTCATTTTCTCAGATATTATATGTATTTTAAATAACTTTTGTTTTTTCTTAAAAAAAATAAAAAGTTCCTCATTCTTAAGGTTTTCATTACCTTTGGTGTTTACAAAGGTGCATGAGCCTAAAAAGTCTATACTCTGGTATTAGAGCAACCTTTTATAAAATAATATTTGCAGGCTCAATAATATGTCAGTCTTAATAATACGTACAGAAAACACTTTCTAAACTGAAATTGTTTTGTGCAAGAAACTGTAGTTTACAGAGTGTGGAATATGTGATATACCGCTATATTTCAGTTACAATATGACACTATTCTTTACCTGGAGAATTGCAAGGGCTCTTCTGAAGAGTTTGGTGTTGCTGACTTTGAGGTCCATCATGTAATTGTAGTAAATCTTTCCTTTTAGGATGTGGCCACCCGTGCTGATAATGTTTAAAATCCACTTTGTGCACAACTCCCTTTGGAGCTTCTGAATATTGGGGAAAATAAACTTTGAAAATGTTTGCAGTATTATATACATAAGATTAGTCTCTTGGTGCAGATCACAATTATTCATTACAGATTTCAGCTTGTAAAAAAGTCACTATGAGGTACAGTTTAATAAAGATACTTCTTGTTCTGTGTCTCCAGAATCTGCCTGTGGCTTGAGATTCGTAACAAAATTAATAAGAATTTGTCATTAAGACTTTCTATCCTATTTTTATTTCTCCTGCTCCTGGAAGGCTGTTGTACTTTCTGGTTTTCTTCTCATCTTGGATGCTTTATGAGTTTATTTGACTCAGTTTATTGAAGTGGTCTGTATTACCAACATTTCCAGGTCTGTGTTCAATGTGCACTGTATGTTACCTACTGTATAAAATCTCATTTACTGCTGCCCTCCAGGACCAGGGTTAACTAAAATTCAAAAAGAGCTTTATTGGCATGATCGATGAATTACCATTTTGCCAATTAACAAAACGTTTACAGTCAGTATTCCTTGCTGAAAAGAGAAGAGAGGAAACACAATGTTTCGGCTGTGAAGCTTTCTTCAGGTGAAGAAGGCTTCACAGCCGAAACGTTGTGTTTTCTCTCTTCTCTTTTCAGCATGGAATAAACCTATTACTTGTTCCTTTGCAGACTACGCATGCTGACGCAGCTACCCACCTGAACTATTTACAGTCATTTACATTTATTGTACATTTACATTACATAACATAAAACCTTATTGTTAGACAGGCTCACTGTTCCTCAGGCTGTAACAGGAGATCACATACTGGGTTATCAGCTCTACTGAGTTCCCTCCCTCCTTCTCCCTCCCCCAGTAGGACTGGAAGCTGTTCTGATTCTGCAGGTGTGGGAATTCTGGGATAAGACTTTTTTATTTGAGCGGAGAATGCTTATCTAATCCCAGAGTATCATTCACAGTGCATCGGAGAGTACACTTCTGTCTGTTTCTCTCTGCTGGCAGTGGGAGCATAGCTTGTCCTCTCTCTAGGTCCACCTGTGTCACCCAATTACTATGGCTAGATGGTGTGTATTGTCTTTTTAGGATCTGGTGACATTCAAGTTTGTATTGTGTTTGTTTGTGTGTCCCACTGATTAAGGTAGTGTTCTTTGGCTTGTGCTGTGATTTGTGGCGTTTTAGTTGTGCTGTCCTTTTGGATGGTGCAAGCGAGCTTCAGGACCACCTGATGAGGGAGATCTCTGGGCTTAATTCATGGCTCAGCAGGGCCTGTTGTGGTAAAATTTCCTTCTATAAAACCATGACTGGCCAGGTGCTGCAGACTATTCCAATACCTCTATTAACTATGAATATTGAACAGCATTGACCTCAGGCTGTAGCGCTGTCTCATCCCATGACCCTAATTGAAGAATTCTGTCTTTGTGGTTCTGATTTGCACTACGCACCTATTCTCTTTATGTTAATTTAATCATAGGCTTTACATTCAATACCATTTTGAAAAAAAATTGTAAAACAGTCCTTTGTGCCAAACTGAATCACTTTTAAATCAGTAAAGTAGCATTTCACCCCCCATTGTTTCATTGATGGACATGTTTGTTTGAAAGTGTGTGTGGAGTGTATATGTGATAAGATGTGTGGCAGTTTGGTGGGAAGCCAATCTGACTCTTACTCAAGATATTGCTCTTGGTAAGGAATGCCAATGTTAGAGCATTCATGATACTGCAGAATACCTGCCATTTGTTGCTGTTGACACAGTAACACCAGCAATTATTAGGGTCAAGTTTGTCATCACTTTTATGGTTGGGGGCAATTAGTCCTTAATTCCAGGCCTCAACGAAAGATTGAAGTGTTGAGCAAGTCTTGCTGCAGCTCGGAGCTGCTGTATCTCTAGAATCTTGTTGTTGATTCCATCTTGGCCACAGGCCTTCCATGGTCTGACAGTTTGGAGTTTGTCTTGTATCTCCTGCTCTGTGATCAGGGAGGTTGCCTGATGCTGGTTAAAACTCATCTGGTTTCTAGTTTTACTGCCATCTACTGGAATGAGACAGACCTAGATTGTAAAGCAGATGAGACTTAAAAAAGCCTTTCCTGAATTCTGGCCTCTCTGCCATTACTTACTATTCATGCTTACTGTGAATGATTCATATGGAAAAAAAGATTGCTGAAAGAATCTTATAGTTATTGTAAATGTGGAACAAAAAGTTTGAGTATTTTACCTGTACAAAACAACCTTCATATTCAGAGAATACAATGGGCCATGTGATGCTTATAATGGATGCAAATGATTTTTTAACATTCTCCTGAAATGAAAACAAAATTTAAGAAATTTCATTTGTTAAATGTTTGACCATTTTATTATTGTTAACCACAGCAGTATCAACATAATAATAAGGAAATGGTTTATGTAATAAACATAATATATTATACTCTATGTAAATATTAATCACAATATCAATTATTATTATTATTATTATTATTATTATTATTATTATTGGAATAGTCCACTTATTCATCTATTGATGAGAAACCTTGCTGTACATACTGCTGTATCATAATTGAAATTGTCAGCATTATAATGAACTTGTACCACTGATGTATTTAAAGAAGCTGTTTCTTTAATATAATTAACTTCAAAAGGAGAAACTCCAAATATTTTTGTTATCCCCACACACGTTTGTGTGAGCCAATTGGGTGTATTGTATGACCCAGCTCTCAGTCAAGGGACTCTGGCAACAATGAAGAAGTATCTTTGAGCTCCTCATTTCTTACACGGCCCAGGGACAGGGATTAAGTCCAACACCCTTAGATACAGATGTCCAGGAGGCTGCAGGTGTCACTGAGAGTCAAGAGAACCCAGGTTATCTAATTTCACTCTTCTCTCTGCAGTACATTGGAAATTGTGTACCCACACTTGGGGAATCTCAGTCACAGTGACATAGCTCAGTCTTGAACCTGTGACCTACAGTACACTCAGGTATGTGCCACTACAGGTGGAGCAATGTGATCCCACCAACCTAATTGAACATTTTACCTCAGTGGAACAAAGGAAGATAAGTAAATGTTAAGAATTACCTACAGGAACATAGTGTCCAGCAGTTGAATGGGCAACTGCATGAAGATTTGAGGTGTTTGCGCTTATCTGGGTCGCCAGCTTATCAATTTCAGAGAGGTCATCTAAAGTAATCAATTCAAACAAATTAGGAACTTAATATTTATATATGTATGTCCATATACAGGTGTCTCCTAAAATTATACCCTTGATATAAAAATATATATTTAGTCGTAGGTTTAGCTAAATAAATGCTACTCTACTTAAATTGAAATTTAAAAATAAAATTAAAGTTACAGTATACTGTACTGTATGTCTAAAACGAATGATCTGTGTTGCTAAGTTTTTGCATGGACAAAAACAGAGAACCTTCAACAATTTTACATCAGAAAGCAAAGTCTCCAGGACTGCTATTTGAAGTTGACCTCACGAATCTGGGTCTCATGGTGGAACTCCATGCAAAAATACAAAGATTCGAAGTAGCCAAGTAGCACCTGAGGGACTTCTCTGCCACTTTTGTGGCTGGATGAAATGTAAACTGAAAGTACAGAACACTCAAACATGGTATCTACACGCAATCAGGATATTTGGCACAGAAAGGCAATGCTGTTGACAAGAACAGAACTAGTAATAAGTTTATTCCATGCTGAAAAGAGAAGAAAGAAAACACAACGTTTCAGCTGTGGAGCCTTCTTCGGAGCAGGCTCCACAGCCAAAACGTAGTGTTTTCTTTCTTCTCTTTTCAGCATGGAATAAACTTATTACTAGTTCTGTTCTTGTCAACAGCTTTGCCTTTCTGTGCCAAATATCCTACGCATGCTGACGGAGCTACCCACCTGAACTACTAAGAACACTGTTATAAAGCATGGGCATGAATCTGTTCTACTTTGTGTTTGCTTTGAATATTTGGAACCTTGTTAGATCTGAGTTTTTGTTAGATCTGAGTTTTTGACTTTTTTAAATTATACCAGGATATTTTAGCCAGGATATTTTAGATATTTCACAAGCTGTAACTCACCAATCAGATATTAGTGGATACATCATATTATGTTGTTTGTCTTGAAGCTTTTAATTTTAAAAAGATTTCTAGATGCATAGACAGACAGACAAATCACATTCTATGGATAGTTTTGTTGACCTATACCTGGCATAATTTTCCACTTAACATATCATTTTAAAAAAAAGAGAATACTGTACATCCATCCTTTTTCTAACTGTTTCTTCCAGTTCAGGGTCAGTGCTGGAGCCCATCCCAGCAAGCAGTGGGAGAAAGGCAGGGGACACCCCAGAAGGGATGCCAGTCCTTCACAGGGCTAAACAAATACACGAAATTTAAAAAAAGTAATAATAATTTATTTAAACAATTACCTACCATCCAGTGTAAAAAGGAAAAGAACTGTGTCATTGTCATTAACATGCGGCAGAATGTTCCTCACAAAATCATCATGGGCAATACAGAACTCTGGGCCCTAAAAATAGATTAGATAAATAGTATAATAGTGTTAAACATAGTAAAATACAGTTCAGCATACTGTGAATTGTGTATTTAATAGACAGTATGAATATGCTTATATTTTAAAATACTTTAGCAACCATTTTTGATGGACATCATTCATCAGCAACTTTCAGCTTTGCATTTCTTGCAATGACTGACTGTTACCGTATAATCCCTCCTGATTTGGAATCAGCAGTTGATTTAAAACAGGATTTTCTGGCAATGACCCAGTAGACATTGAGATGTGCACAGCCCCTCTCCATTTGACATGTTGCAAGGAGAGTGCAGAGGAAAAGCAGGAAAAAGATGTGCATCTCTTACTAATTTCACGGCAAGAGTGCAGGCACCCCGCACGTTTTAGGAGAAATTGTTTGTCAGAAAGACATGGAAACGCTGTCTGTACTCTACCTCAGTGCACTGAGCCAGGTGAAGGCAGATTTTTGGGAACGGTCTTGATCACTGTCAGCTAAAAATATAACTTAAAATTAACTTAAACTTCCCTGCTACCATCAAATAACAAGCACAGTATTAAAACAATCAGAAATAGCAATATTCTTAGATAAGAGTTAAAATGTCACGTGCCTGAAGCAGGGATCTTTCAATCATTATAACTTATAAAGGTAAAATAACTGAAAATAAATCTAATTTCTTTGGAGTTATACATTGCAACAAAGTAGTTACTTTGTGAATTCTGTACACATACAGGTAACTGTCATATATCAGCATGCAGGCTGGTGAATTGCAACAATACTTTATTGGGACATCTCTCAGTTTGCCTTGAGCAATTTTATTCAACAGGGTTCATCTTCCTCTGCATACAAGTAAGGGTTATTTGGTGTCTCTTTAATAATGAAATGGCATCCTGCTTTATCAAGACGTGCTCTTTGAGAAGCTATGAAACATGTTCCATCTCCCCGTGACTTCATTTTCTAGCATCTGTTTTACAGTCTGGGAGGAATGCACAAACTGACTTTCAGGTCTTACATAAAGACCTGTAATATGTACTGTATAACATTTACTCATTGTTCAAACAATTTTTGAATAAAAAGAGAATGGCACTATGACATGCTTTATGTTTGAAGCTTCAGCAACTTACAAGTGATGCAATGTTCCCTTCTTTGTTGTCCATTTCTTTATATCCATTGTTGATAAATCCACGAACATCACCAACATCTATAATGATCAAAATGTAATAAATCCATTAGTTGACTTGCCCTTACATGTCAAAGAGCTTCATATTATCACTCAAGTAACATTATATGTTACAGTAGCCCTTGTTTAAACTAAAAGCTTGTATGATTCTGATAATTTAGGAATACTCTATTCGGTATTATTCGGTTTAACTATTCGGTTAAAATGAACATTTTTGAAGCAGACAAAGGCATTTTGGGACCTTTTCTGAGGTTGAACTGGCCAAGCATTTAATACTTCGCTAAGCTTTCTTCAAAATTTTCAATAATGCCAGCAAGTTTGATCATTTATCACTTTATACTTTGTACACCTTAGTGGACTGAGATATTGGCACAGGGTATTTCTTTATGTTCTTGAATTATACTGAAATGAACCCATTTAAAATTATTTGACTAGGTGTGATGTGCTTTGCTCTCAGGCCCATCAAATTAGAGCATGGATCTATAAAAAAAGGGAAACTTTTGTTACCTGCTCCAAAAGTGGGTGGACATTCACTGGCATCAATGATCCCCATTACTCCTAAAGTTTGCCAACCAATGTAATATACATGTCCCCCTTTCTGCAAGCTATTACAAAAAATAGGAAATAAAGATTTAGAACTGATGTTTCTAATTTGACGGAAAACAATAGTAAGCACACGGTGGGTCTGTAGCTGATATAATTGAAGAATATTATCTACAATAAAATGTTTCTACCTCAATAGGTGTGTCTAATATACAGTATAAATATATCACTTTGTATTCAATTACAGTGATCTATAAATGATGCATAGCAAAGCAACAATAAAATGAAAAAAGATAGACGTCCTACCTTTCTCCAACTTGATTTACTAATACAGAAATCTTTTTACTCTGAGAGTAAGTGACTTTATGGACTCTTTCATAAGCTTGCAGACAATCCAAAATACCACTGTAAGATACAAAGAACAATCAACCCCCACCTACAACACCAAAACTTACACAATGGAATGATCAGTTTTTTAACATTTAACATAGCATTTAATGATATAATAACATTGTTCTGTTATTGTGGACACATATACTGTATCATTGCATATGATGTTTTAGACTACTACATCTTTAATGAACAATGTAAAGTGCACTCATAAAAACGTTCCACATAACAACAACAATGACAACAACGACAATAATAATAATAATAATAATAATAATAATAATAATAATAATAATGAATAAACTGACTTAGCTGTGCATTAAATGATATAATAAAATGTTTCTGCTATTGTGGACACATATACAGTATCATTGCATATGATGATTTAATGCTGTGAATGTGGGTAAGACCACTACATCTTTAATGAACAATGTAAAGTGTACTCATAAAAGCATTTCACCTAACAACAGTGACAACAACGACAATAATAATAATAATATAATGATGGTGAATATACTGACTTAGCTGTGATTTCTTTGTTGCTAAAAGCAGCTCTGTGGGCTGCTAGGAAAAGAATTTCTAACATTATTTTTGTTGCACTCCCAGCTTTCATGCGGGAAGAGCCGGTGATGGCTTCAGGCTAACAAAGAGAAAAAAATATGCATTAGATATTGACAGGGACAGGAAGGACAGCAGACCGGAAACTAGGTACAGGACAGAGAAGAAGCGCTCTCTGGCTGCAGAGGGCGTGACAGTACCCCCCCCCTTCATGGGCGGCTCCTGACGCCCATACAAATGAATGAGCTGCCCAGCACCGGTGGGAGGAAAAACCTCATTTAACTGAAAGGAAACCTCCGGTAGTCCACGGCTGAGAGGTACCCCCTCCTCCGGGGTATTAACCTTTATTGGGTGGAGGAAGGGGGGGTCGAGTAGAGCTCCAGAGACTTAAAATAAAAAGTACACAAGCACAAACACAACAGACAAAAACCTGGGAAAGACCAGGGAGACAAACCACACAAAACCGATAGAAACCAAAAACAGGAAACCAGGAAGAAAAAAATCAAAACAAAAGGCAAAAAAACACAAAAACCCCGGGGAAAAATACCGCAGACTGGGCAATGGGCACGTTCACATTCTAACGCTGATATCGGAGTGGTCAACCTGAGGAAAACCAGACCGAAGTCCGTTCACAGACACAGATGCCCGGAGTGATATCCAGCGATTAGAATAGAGGAACCGACTAATAATAATTAAAAGAAATAGCCCAGAGCAAAAGAAAAAAAACTGCCGCAAGACAAAAAGTGCCGCTTGCAGGGTCAGTAAGTGGCTCAGCATTCTGTCACGGACGTCCAAAGGGACTAACCGTGGGGAGTAGGAGAGCGGAAAAAGACCCATATGCGTAGCGGCGAGATGGGAAAAAGGCCCGGGCACAAGAGTTTATTAGTGCAAAGAGTTCAGGAATGCCGTATAGAAACCTATGCCCTCAGGGAGCGGACGTGGGGCGCCCTGGTGCTAGGCGGGTCTCAGGACATCCGAACGTCAATGCTGAGCGAGGACAGAGTGCAAGACCCGGAAATATATAGCCCAAGGGAAAGAGAGGGACAGGAAGGACAGCAGACTGGAAACTAGGGACAGGACAGAGAAGGAGCGCCCTCTGGCTGCAGAGGGCGTGACAGATATACACAGTACAAATATACTGTACATTTCCTTTACTAGCCCTATACAGGTAGATGTGATTCACAGACAGTCCCCAGCAATTCACAATAAAAGAGCTGATCCTTGATAATTTACCTCCATGGCAATCTGTCAATGCACCCTAACCACACCCCAGCACTTCACACTGGTATAAAATGACCCCTGATAGTTGTCTGCAGCAGCAAATTGCTATTGTGACACTTTATCCGCCTGATAATGTTTCCCAGAAACATCTGAACCACCCTCTGACAATTAATCAAGATTGCAGCACAGATGTATTAAGTTAAAATCAATTCAATATGATTCATTTTAAAGTTGAATTTTAAATTATTTTGCTTCAAATCTTTCTGATGTGGGCTGACCACTGTGGTGGTCTGATGTTCTACAACCTTGAAATTGTAGATAACCGCTAGAATCTACAATTGTCGATTACAAGCTTGTAACATGACAACAATGTCCCAATAAAGAAAACTAAAACACTGTGGCAGTTTTGTAACTGTCTATTTATGTAATCTGGGCATTAATTTTAATGAGGCAAAAATCACTTATCACTGAACCTAAGCTCAGATTCTGCATATTTATGTTTTCATGCATTTAAATATAGTATCTTAAATCTTCACATGTGGAAAACTGCATACATAAGTCTCAGGGGATTGAAAGATTTTGGGCTCCATCACACAACTGTGAAGTAAATCAGAAGAAATCAGATGAGAGCAAAAGCAAGCAGAAGCCGTGATTGTGAGGTTGTAGGTGACTTTTCTGTTGATGTGAGCTTGCTCAGTGGGTTAGAAATATTATAAACCACAAAGTTCTAAAGTCATTTAATTTAATCTGTAATCAATCAAATAAAAAACAGAATATAATTATGTATTTTCTGTTCAGTACTGCACCATTAGCTCTTTATTCGTGCTTTAGCATTTCAAATGATAATCAAACAAGCCCTCAGTGTACAGTAGGTGTTTAAATATACAGTATATACTATATGTACATATATAAGGTACATATTTATGTTAAGGTGGCCATTATGCTCCAGAAAAGCCAAACTGTCAGAACAGGACTTGTAATCAGGATTGTTTTAATTGCACTTGTGCTAATTTGTTAATTACCTCGATGCATCCCTACAATAAAATGGTAAAGTCCACACCAAGAAGCTTACCAGGTCAGAAATCATCCTGTTTTTTGCTGTGTTAAGTTAACAATATAGCATGTGACTGTCAATCCTTCCTCCCCTAGACTCTGGGCCATTGGATTAACCTCCAGGCAATCCTGGCTGCCACATACAGTATACAACTGGGTGCTCTGAAGCAATAGACGTAAATTACCTAATTCAAGGGGTACAGCAGCAGTGACTAGAAATCGGATTTGAACCCACAACCTCACAGCAAGACTGACCCAGCTAGTGATGAGAGATCAGCAGACAGGCAGGCTGACAGTCTTGGAGAGAGAAGGGCTGCCAAAAAAACTGTTTGAGGGCCGTCTTGTGTGAAGGTAGCGAGGTAGCGGGTTGAGCTGGTGGAGGGCTGTCAGTGCAGAAATTAAGTGAAACACTAATAGATTGAAGCTGTTGTGAACTAATGCTTGTGGTCTGGGAGAACAGAGTATAGCCAGTGGCCTCAGGGCTCTAGGGAGCTCAATGTTGGAGCATCGCTCTAGTGCAGGCCTTAAACAGGCCGATCATTCAGGCACTTGCTGCCTGATAGATACTGTGGATTGAAGCTGGACAAGAGAGATGGCCGGGAGCATTCTCACGGGGCCTTTATTTGGTGAACGCTCATGGGAACGCCCTGAGTTCCCGGGTGAAACACTACTATTTTCTAATGTTAATGTCTTCTCTTCTCGATCTTAATTAGTGGGGAGCCAAATACTGAAACGGTGTTTTAAATAAAGTCCAGGAGAAGGTGAAACCCTAACCTCACCTACTTCTACTCAAATATGTACAGTATAACTGATAATAATGATTCTAGCATAACACTGAACATAGTAATTTGAATCCCTTCCACCGCGCCATCATCCCCTTGTGGCATTTCTCTGGAAACTTATGGTGTACATTTTTTATCTTCATTAATCTTGCATAGTTCACTGTTGCCTATCAGGTGAAATAAGTCATTTTCATAGTGAAGTGCAAAAGCCCAGGTGGAGAGGTAGCTCTCTAAGTATATCATTAGTGTTAATTACCAGTCAATCAATAATATGGTATTCTCTGGTATAATCTGCAATGATTACCATTCTACTGTTTGTTTCAATTCCAGACCTATTTACATGGTAAAGCTTCATTTAGTTTATGGTCCTGTTCCATATTCAATTTAGAAGAACAGCAGCTTTTCATGTGAATCGCAGTAAATGAAAATTAAAAGCAATATGTTAATGCATGACTATTAAGATGACTCAAAGAACACCTACTCCAACAGCAGGGTTCAATATGAAGGCTCTATAGTTCTTCTGCAGCTCCTGCATCCTCTCAGCTACCTGGTAGAATGTCAGATGCCAACCCTCAATGATTTCATTCCTATATTACAAGAAAGAAATTGAGAGCACTTGCATTCAAAAAAGGCCAGGAATATCAGGAATGAGAAAATACAAATTGTGTTTGTTATGCAACTGCTCAGATTATTATTTCTAGAGCAGTTACTTTACCTTGCCAAACAGCTTTACCTGAAAGAAAAGGAAAATTATGGAGTTGACATACAATAAAGGACAGAACATTTCAGTTTTTGAGAAAACAGCTTTCATTCCTGGATATATCAATTGCTGAGTATAGCTTAAATTATTTAAGCTGAGGAAACCAAACCATTTTTTACATTGGACACTGTGGATGTATTTTTAATTATTTATAAATCCAATACTATTCCTTGTTCAAAGCTGCAAATAACGTACTGGGATAATGTAGTCTTACCTTGCCATGTTCGTAGGATTAAATCCAACCAACACAGGTGTGAAGACATTTAGATTGTTCATACAGAAATCTAACTGTCCAGCAATAAAAGGAGCCTTTAGATTGAAAAAGTAAAAACACAGCATTGTGAAAGGTATTAAAAAGAAATAAGAAATAACTAGAGTAGAACAAGTAAAAAAGAATAAAAAAGTAGACAACTGTTACATACTAATACACCTTTTTTTGCTATGTGACAAAATAGGAATATACTTATACTCACACCTAAAGAAGGCTCCACAGCCAAAACGGTGTGTTTTCTTTCTTCTGTTTTCAGCATGGAATAAACCTATTACTTGTTACTTATTCTTATATATATATCTACTTCATATTTGTAATTACTAAATTTTGAATAATATATCCCAACTTTAAGAATATAAGAAAATACATACATAAATATATAACAGTTCCTACCGATAAACCACATGATATCCCAATGAAGAGCACTTGCTTCTTTCCTGCACACACCTATGAATAAAGAAAATACTTATTAATATAAAGGAATACATAGTGGTAATTCTGCAGTGATGTTTAGCTTCTCAATACAATGCTTGCAAGGTTCCAAAGTTCTATCCTTCATCCTTGTCTCAGAACATGTGCAATGGGTAAAGTAGGTTCAGAACTACAAGGGCAAGTGCTTTGGTTATCATGAATGTCTGTCGGAATTACCCTTAGGGCTCTAGTAACCAAATCTTCAATGGTAGAATGGGCAGAAGACAAATGGATTCACAAGGACTGGCCAAGCAATGACAGGCCAGAATGCCTGTTTGTGGCCCAGGAACTCTGGAGATATGACATCAGCATCACTGCCCAGAGTGAAACAAGAGAGGCAGGGAAGGACATAGAGGAGGCCATACTTTCTTCTGGAAGGGAAAATCAGAGGAAAAATATTGAATTCCTCTAGTTTCATTACAAATCATCAACCATTAACCATCATAAACCGTCTTGTTGGAATCAATGGATGGTTCATGAATCATCATTTCAAGATAGAAGGGAACCAACATATCTATGTACTTTCTGAACCCTATTCTACATTCAGATGATGAAACTTGGGGATGTTTCAATGTCAAGCTTGACGAAATGGTTTATGGAGTCCGAAAGGAGGACAGACTTATTTTACCTTGAAACATCAGTGCCAAATTTGGAAGAGATACCAGTCTGTGGAATTGAATCATTAGTATGGGAAGAGTGAATATTAAAACATCAATTTTATATTTTTTTCTCATTAACAAAAGTAAAAGTAAAGGAACATCATTACTAACAAAATGTTTTGCAAGAGGAACAGACACAAAACAAGCTGGTAGCATCTCTAGTCAAAATCATAGCCTGGAATCATACAGTACAAATGTGCATAAAAGCAATGGGATTGCAGGAGTTCATGACTGCTGGACATGATGCAGATCATTTATTTTTTTGTTGATATTGTTGGCTGTCCTTATTGTGTATGTCAAGCAAGCTCCCTGACAAGAAGTCCAAGACCTGGTCCAGTGACAGAGAATGACAGGTTTTTCTCCATTGGTTCCTGGGAAATGTAGTTCAGAAAAAACTAACCTCTTAATCACATACGATACAGAATAACAAATATTACAATTCAACAAGCCAAATAATGGGATTTAAATACTTAAAAGGTATTTACTTGATTCTGCCCTTTTGTACGCTGATCAGACTCACCTTTTCTAGTTCCTCAGCTCCCAGATAAGGGTTGTCTTCAGGAGCTTCCTGAGAGGTCAAAAGGGCTCTAAAATAAAACAATGAATACCTGAATAAAACAAAATGCAGCTATAAAATGTTAAGTTTAATACTAAAAATACATCAGATACTTGCTTCTTGCAATATAACCATTTGGTAGTGAACTCACGGATGGTCACAAAAGTCACATATACCTAACTAAAAGTATATGTGAAAAATATTTACAAACAGGAAAAAAACACATTTAACAAAGCAGTAATTGCAGACTTTCAAGGAAAACAAAAGTACAAAGAAGAAGGGTTTGTTGAGTATAGTAAGTGAATCAGGTTGCAATAGACCTCAGAGGTGATACTGTATAACGAAGATGTGCACAAGCACTTCATTACATTTCTCAATATACTGTATGGTTTTGAGCTACAGTATACTTACTTGTCTCCCCCAGCAATGATGTAGTCATAGTTGTGCTTCTTCTGCAACCCTTTTAACAACCTGTTGAATGAGGTCTGAATAGAAGAAAAAAACATACCGTAATACAATACATAATTAGATCAAATATAGTACATATAGTAGGTAATTAAAAGAGAAATACAAAATGTTCACTTTATTTACATTATATTTTTTAACTACAGTAACTGGCAAAGCTTAAAATCATAGTGATGAAATAAACAAAAGAAACCCTTTACCACAAGCAAATATGCAAGTCTTCCAGATGTTCCACAACCACTTAAGACAACCAGACTGTGTTCTGGATCCTGAGAACATAAATCTGTCATTAGTATGCGTACATTATACACTTATGTATAACAGAGATGACATTTAATGTACTCTAAATTCAAGTCTAATCCATATTTTCTTATCATTCTTTATCATAGGCACATCCATATGAAAAACAATTACATTTGATCTACAGATAAAATAAAAAATAAAAAATGCTCCTATTTTCTATGTTCTGTATTGCAGACGAATATTCTGTAGACAATTGAGAAATGTCCTTAAGAGCCACTGAGTGATTTTCAGTGGTCTACGATTCTGCTAAAAATGCAGCAATTTGAGTTATAAAAAATAATGTGCCATGCCCAGATTTTCACCTCCATAGCATGATATCACATTTTGTTGAATTCAAAAGAGTATTTAAGCGTATACTTTTCATCAAAACTTCTCAATGCTCAAACTGAAGACTTTTATGAGTAAAATAAGTTCAATGTTTTGAGAAAAAATGCACTTTTGCTCAACATAGTGTATATCAACCTGTTACAAATCAACAACGTCTTCTTTACTAGTCACTAGTCCAGCAAACCCATGGGGCTCCTTCAATTATGATAAAGCTTTTACAGTACTTTCCTTGTACTGTTCATTTCTACAAATGAAAATCAGCAGTGATTTGGTTAACAGTGTTATTTGCCATTTGATCCAAAAAAATAAAAAGGAATTACTGACACCTTCAAAATATCTTCCATCTTCTTGGCAACATCAATTAATGTCTGGAGTACAGATTCACTGTAGAGTCTCTGTTAACACACATTCAAGAAACAGGACGTGAAAATGAACCATAAAAACAACAGGTGAATTCATACTATAATGTGTAGTAAAACAGCACACAAAGATATTTTCATTAAATTAATATTGTCACCTGTCTTAAACAAAATGTAGGGTAAAACAAATAAATTTGTAGCTTTTGTCTTACACTTTAAGGAAACAGATTAAGAATATTTTGGATTTAATAAAAACAATGTCAGTATGTATAGTAGAGGCATGATTTTGAAACACACCAAATATGCCATGATTGAAGATTTATTCATACATATTCATACAGTACTTTAAGTGTTTTTTAAAATTACTTTCACACCAAACTATTTGTGCTTCATTTCTTTTGTATTATCTGTTATTATTGCTCTTCTCTGAAACATACAGTATATACTTTATGCTTTTCAGTTGTTACAGTCTTAGGTGAGCATCTCAAGTCTTTTTTACCTCAGTCTTCTCTGGCTTGTCATGCTTAATTACTGTTTTGCACACTATATATTTATATCAGATGTGTTAATTGTTATCTGCAGAAACAAACATAAATCTGCTACATACAGAATCTGCTAACTAAATACATACTTCACACAGGAGTAGACCAAGGAGGTAATAAAATATTTCAAGCCAAAGAGGGGCAAAGGTTTATCAACATAGAAGATGTACTAGAAATATTAGGAGCTCTTAAAAACTAATCTGCAGGGCTGAATGGATTTTTTCCAATTGTATACAAATGCTGGATGTTATTCACAGACCAACAACAGAACTGTTTCACCAGTGATTCTGGACAGAAGTAATACCCAGTCACTGGAAAATTGAAAAAGTAGCACCTATCCAAAAAAAGAAACAAAATCCAAGCAGGTAATTACAAAACAGTTAAAAACAACTTTTTTACATGTGAGAGTATAAAGCTGATGATTAGACCTAAACATTTAGAGCATGTCTTATTAAACATGTTTGAACAAATGGCAACAATAATAGATTCAGACAGTGCATAAGATATGACATATTTGGATTTTCCTAGCTAGTCAAGTTAAAAAATGATAACACAATTGAAAACTTAGTAAACACTGCAGGAGCAAAATAAATTTAAAAAGATGGACAAATTCAAAATTCAGCACCTATAGATGTAGTCATTCAAATGCATGGTTAAAACCCTGTACCAGGGGTTTTGAGCTACAGGCGACCGCGATACATGATTCAGTGGACAAAGATGATTGACAGGTGGCACTTGTGGTGCATTAGCTGTAAGTGAAATGATTGCTTCATTTAATCTCTCTACTGTGCATGTTTAAATCCGCTTAATATGGAATATGAATATGACATTTTACAACTAAAGGGACATTTTGGTAACTGAGCATAAAAATAACAGGAGCATAACATCTCTGAATATCATATTGTCATAAACAAACATTAATTTATGAATATAAATATATGACACACTTTATATGGTCAGTAGTGGTAGCTTACATAAAAAGTACACAACAGTAGTCCACTTCACTTCACTTTAACTCAGTCACTTACTGTCTATTTTGATATTAAGTTTATATACTTTGTAAAAAGCTATAATGTTTTAACCTTTTCTATGAATACTTGCTGTTGTCATTTTTAAGGAAAAAATTGTATTTTTTAGAATCCGCTTAATAGGGAATATAATATGGAATCGCACAAATAAAGAAATTAATAACAAAATTAATTGAAGGATCTAAATATAACATATTTATATAGTTGGTAGTATTACCGTAGTCCACTTTCTTTGTAAACATGTTTTATTTTTTCTTTGACTCGTTCATCCATGATTACTTAAAAAAAATGTAAGTTGCTCATTTCAGCTATATTTCCAAGTGACCCCCATAGTGCAATGGGTTTGGTGGGTAGGCCTAATATCTGCTAAAATGTGGATTAAGACATTAAGAAATTTTCTCAATTCGGATGTAAACCTGAAAAAGGTGCATCGTGTTCACAACATGCTATAATAGTGGACTATTTTTATATATTCGGCTATGTAAGAAACAAACCAAAAGTAATGCTTTGATCGGGCTTTGAACTGCCTGGGTGTAGCACGCTGCATTACGGTCCATGAGCTTTCCATTTTCCATTACCACTATAAGGACAATGAAGGTATATAAAAAACAAATGTCAAACTGTTTCCAAAACATCCACTTGTGATATTTTAGCTGCTTAGTTACATGATTCCATATTAATATTACTATCAAGTGGTATTAAGAAAAGGATAAAACATTATAACTTTTATGAAGTACAATATATACTACTGTTTTTTATTTTCCGTTGTGAAAATTTACTATGTGGAATTAAACCCGAAAGAGGCATATCACATCACGTTCACAAGCTACAGTATAATAATAAACTCTTTTTTATATATCCAGCTGAGCAATCTTGCTTTTATAAAACATACCTACTTTTTAATTATACACAGTTTAATATTAGATTGTCCCTCAGCATTGACCGGGATTCAAAATTAGGTGTTTTCTGGCAACAGCCCAAATGCTCCACACACCATGTTGAACTTTCAGTACTCCACCTTGCGGTTTTATAAAGTACTACAGTCCCACAACTGAGTATTTCTAAAATTCTGCCGTAGCCGCAGACACTGAACTGCAAGCTACTGCAGTATCCCCTGTGCATTCTGAATGGCTGGATCTGTAGTATAAAAGCAGAGTATAAGTAGCAAAATTATAAGTTTTAAATATAGGATAGAAAACACTTTGAGCTTAAAGAAGCTACAGTACCTTTCAAAAAGATTTATGGTGCAACAAATATTTTCCTTATCATGATAATTTAGGGAAGCAATAGAAAAGGCAAGCAAAATATATAAAGTATATAGTTAAAACCACAGAAGTTAAATTAAAAGATTTTATGCTGAAAATGTATAATACAGAATTAAAACCTCATCAGAACATTTAATTTTAGTCACAACATTACAAAAAGACATTGCTGCTCTGTAATCAGCCCAAATAAGAGAAACTGGAGATACAGTATTTGAAGGCTAAAAGGAACATCCTATGACTAAAGAATAGACACCTAAAGAATCTTTTTATTTTTGAACAGAGAAGTTAACCTCATTCAAAATTGTTATTTACAAAGTCATCTTCACAATAATCTTCAAGAGTTAGAAACATGAACCAGGAGACACCAGTGGAAACTATGGGGAAGTGCTTTTCTGATTGAAAACAAGATCTATCTCCTTACATAATTGCTTGTGGTGGTCTATATCAATGTACCCAGCCATGTTGTTGAATATCAAATCTTAGCTTCATACAAAAAGAACTGAACAAGACCTTCAGATGTATCACCTGATAGAAACTCTCTTAAATTGCTTTTTTCATTTTTATTCTCTTATATGTTCTTAAGTCTAACTTGAATTTCCCCACTGTGTTTCACATTAGAAGATATAAAAAATTTTGACAAAATTGATCAGAATTGATTGATACTAAGAGCTGTTTAGTATGAAATAAGGGAGCAAATTCTAATTTAGTAAGTTGATGACGGACTGCGTAGTCTTGTGTGTTAGATTATGAAAAGAATGCACTTTATAGCATTTTTTAAATCAAAGACTGAATGCAAAAAGTAAGTAGATGCTGTAGGCTATAGGCAACAATTAGAACTGGTAATTAAGGGCCCAGTTGGAACAAAACCCAGCAGACACTCATTAACCTGGATTGAAAACAGCTGCTCTAAAGGAAAGATTGCCACCTGCTGTACACATCCTACCTGGTAATTTATGACTGTCTCCCCTTCCTCTTGAAATATTTCTGCATCACACAGCTTTAGCAGGTGGACAATCTGCAATGGGTCAGCTTTGTCAATCTCTTTCGTGATAGGGTTTGATTTTTCAGTGAGTGGGAGAGAGGCTTCGTAACCAGCAAGCTGTAATATAGACACACATGATATAGCAGAAGATTCAACAGCAGAATTGAACAAAATCTTACCTCCCAAGGTTACACCTCAAACAAAGGGTTATGCATTATTTAAAATATATTTTATCACAGAAAAGGGCTGCCAGTTTCTATGGAGTTCTGAAAATGCTAGGTTCTGAGATGTTTGCAGAAGTGATATCGGGATGTGGCATGTAAGAATTAATTAGATTTTTTTTAAACACAATGTAGAATTATTTTACATATTGAAGTAAGGAATAAAGGCAAAAAGATAAAGTAATCCCACAAATAAATGAAAATCATCTTGTTTCTTTTCAAAATGACATTTTTTCAAATCCTAGAGTGAAACCCAATACTTCTGACACAAATTCCTATACACTTTTATACACTGCCCACACAAACATACTGTATGATTATAATCTAAATGCATATGTGAGTAAAATGAACCACATTGTTCCTTGATCCTTGCTTATAACAGCTGTAAAAGAAGTTTTGGAACTTCTATTACATATACAGATGCAGCCATTCAAAATGAGTGGTAAAAACCCGCGGTACAGTAACCAACCCACAGGGCACCATAGGGCACCGCAGGGCAAGTGATTGGCTG